CGAACATTTGTTTGGCACAAGCGCGAGGCACACACAAGCCTGGCGCATGTTTGGGGCAAACCTTTTGACTCGACCATGTTGAAATTCTATCAGGATGCATCCATCTACCATTCGTCTTGAAGCCCATGCAGTGTTGTCTTATGGTTTCAAAACCGTGATGAATCAATGCCCTCAGAGGTTTTTGGAAACGCTCAAAGATCAGACATGAACCCTTAAAGTCTCGAGAAAGTCACCCAACCACAAACTTCAGAATGCACGTGTTTACACATGTATATGGCAAGGTTTATTGGATACTCCCCGAAAGGATCCAATTTATAGCAGATCAGTATACTTTTGCTGAATTTATGCTCGACTCAACATAATCATACATTATATTATCAGCTATATTGTTGTTTCCATATTTAATAGTTTAAACATCGACAACATTGATTGACCTAAAGTCCACAACATCCCGCACTTGAAGCAGCTTTGTCTTCGTCCAAAATTGCCTTCACACTTCAGATCGCATCACTGCAGAGGCTTTATCGGAGTTTCTGCCCATTATGGTTTTGCACATATTTTGAGTCTACTAGTATATACCATAGTAATATGGTCATATGATGCTATAGCATTATATACCTCCACTCTGGTAACTCACGATAGATACTTGCTTTTCATCACGTTTCCTCATCTCCTTCTCCGTCACTGCAATGATGATAATGATGGAAGTTGGTCGCTGGGGTAGCTATCCCAATAGTCCAGGGGTCGGCGGCAGAGGGCGTAGCCCTTTAATATATATATATATATTATAATATCTATTGAGGCGTTTTTCCATGGCTGCCGCTTCCACTGCCGGCGCCTTAATGACCTGATTCACCAATGCAGCTCCCAGCTGAGCTTTGGCTCGATCCCATTCCGTGTCCTCACGTCATTTGGACATACCAATGAGGGGTTGGACATCTGTCGGGCATACTACATGATTAACTCTATTAACATAATATATATATATATATAATATATGTATAATATAATTATATAATATGTTTAATATTACTGTACATGGTTGGAAGCTCTAATGTCCTGTTGAAATAAACTGGCATATATTGAAATGACGGGAAACAACATATCAGAAAAAGGGATGGAAACAGAATCACCCTAAAATAATGGAGAATGATTAAGATAATTTAATTATCAGTAACAAGGCCTTGTATCCATTTTTGCTGTCGACATTGTTTGATGCCATTCCTTGTCAATGGGCAATCGTGAGACATTCAGGAAGTCCGCTGAATTCTGGTGCCATGACCTTCTCTCATGTAGATTGATCGACATGTCCACCGGTCGACTTACCCTCCAAACGGAATAGCTTTTGATGGTTTAACCATCTAGGATGCTTAAGACTGACAAGTTGACACAACATGTTATTGTTTGTCTGAAAACGGGATACAGGCAAAAATGATGCTTTATCGTCATCTCTCCTATTCAAATAGTAGCCATTGAAGGAACACACCCCCAATCTTTAGACACGCCAATAATCATATTAAGTTCGTTCTAAATAAAGCTCATGTATCGTTATGCTCCAGTAAATGTATTTGCAAGTTACTATGAACTGACATCAACTCATTGGTTGTCAACCAATCTTTCTAGCATACAATATCATAAAGCTATATAACACTTCTATATATATATGTATATAATGTTATAGATATCTTTCCATCCGCGTAAAATGATCTCCCAATGGCATCCATGGCCCAAGTGCCCCCGCCTTGGGTGAGGCCATCAGCTCGGACAGCACTTGAGCTGCACGGTCCTCTGCTTTAAGAGCTGTTTGAGGTCTAAATCTACTCGAAAAAAATGTTGTTATGAATTGATTTAACTGTTATTATAGTCTATTACTTCCATATAGTATATCTTGAAACAAATGAATGTCATCTATAATATATTATATATATACGTATGTACTGTATAACCTATACAATCTACACAACCTATATCACATAACCTGTAGGTATTTGACTTGATACCCTAGCATAATCTAGCATAATCATGCACACAGGTATGCAAGGCCACTGCCGAATCAATCATCAGGTGAGTCCAGGACCCGTCCACACCTCTCACACGACGAAATAATCAAATTCCAAGGTGCTTTCACTAGATTTAGAACCGCATCTTTTATCAAAGCCTTGGAGGTAGCTATGTAATGCGTGTATATATATAATTATATATACAGTATATAACAGATTATAACAGCTACAGTATAAGCATAATTGTTTTTTGATGTTTTGGCACCAAATATGCACACTTACTTGATCTATCTTCATCTTACTTGCATCGAAGCCAGGGTTTTTCTCTGAACATCTCTGAACGACAATGGTTGTCTCCAGGACCTTGTCCAGCGCGGAGGTGGGGACAATCTCAACTCCTGCGACCTGACAATCGCCCGGCTTTGGAAAAACTTAGACCATCACAGACCATCTTAGACCACACACACCTTCGATTATTGATGTTTTTGAGTTTTATTGAGTTTTACTGAGTTTTAAGGTTGTGGTAGAATCTGTCTAGCTTTCTATCTTCAATGCCTTTGCTGGGCGACTCAGCCTCTGCCGTGCAGCATCCAGAGCCATCAGTTGGATGATTGAAGAAAAGGAAGCCATCTGAGATGAAATAGTCCTGGAATTCAAACTGCTCTGAGCGAAGAAACACAACGGCAACGGCGACAACGGCGACAAACACAGGCTTTTTGTTTATAGCTTGATATTTTGACGTATCTCCAGGGCCGACCCATGAAGGGAGCTTGGAACATGCCAAAATCACTGCCCCATAGATGGAAAGAACTTGTGTCCAATTGTCAATGAACTCATTTGGCTAAAGCGCGCTAATGCTGCTGCCTGCAGTTGTTGGACAATATTCTGAAAATATCCTGAACTGGGAGATGTCACACTTTGTTACACCCCACAACAGAATTGATCACACAACAGCAGCACTCGCCCCACAGCCCATTCACCTTGGTGTCTGAGCCATCTCTCACGTTGATAACGCCAGCTTTGAGCTGGGAGACAATCAGCGAGTGATTGTTGGTGACGGTGAAGACACCCTGAAAATGTTGCCAAAGTTGGATTCAACCATACAAAGAAAAATGGAAAGCTGTTGGTCACCAGCAAGCATGGTATGAGACTACGAAATAGTTTCAGGGCAACTCAAAGACACGCACCGCATGCCATGCTTTCCTTACAATATAAGTTGAATGCTAAGAGGCTAAGATGTGCAGAGACAGCACAGCCAGCCTCTGTTCCAGGCACCGTGACACTGTCGACTGGCTTCTTGATGCAAATCGCCTTTTCAGCAAGGGAGACACAAGCGATCAACTCCAACTGCCAAGCCAAACGTGCACGTCTGAGAAAGGCGCATCTACATCAGTTCTTTCTGAACAGCAATTTTTCAACCTACGCTTGCAAACTTTCCCTATCCTTTAAATTGCCACTTCCATTAGAAACAATCACCAGAAGTACAAACGCCCCTCCGCCCGTTGTTTGTCCTCTCCAGGAGAAGTGAGAGTCAGTAGCAGCCGGTTTGTCACACCTTGGAACCAAGGTGTGGGAAGTTGGGTCCATCCGACAATAGAGTTTACAGCAAAATAGCATAAAATAGCCATTGGAATAGGGAAAACAATCTATGCTATAACCCCCTCGGTTTTAGGGCTACTCATGGCTACTCTATTTTCAGACAGAGCCATATTCTATGATGTTCAAACGAGACTGGCCCACAGTTGGAGCAGATGCCTTCTGCAGCAACTGGGTGTTCCCCACCTGTGGCCTCGCTTGCCATTCGAAGGATACGAGCACTTCGCAAAGCCATGCTGTGGGGCAAATCCTGCAGAGCCGAAGAAGACCAGGTGAGTATCCATTATTGAATTTGAGTGACAGCTATTGTATATTATTTTATAAGTAACTAGTATCATGTAGCAGTTACATGCAGTCAACTGTATTCATCCCTAATTAATAAAACAACACTAGATATCACTGGATCATTCAATCATATCTTATCAATTCTTATCATAATTTTCTGATACAGTATCCCATAGGATCCATGTATGCTATATATATATGGTAACATTTACCATCAATATACCCCCAATGTTAGCATATATACCATACATGGATCCTATGGGTATGGTCATTACTACAAGATCAGGCATGGATCATCCCATCTGCATCTCGGCTCCTGGGGCCAAACCTTACCAGGATGGGTCACCTGGGTCACCTGGGTCACCACCGCGTTCCCGACGTTCCCGGGAGGCTGGAGCAAGAAATGGCGCCAAACCCCACGGGCCCCGTGCTTCGAAGCTTGGGACGAGACATTGGTGTGGAAATCACATGGAATCAATATGAATCAATAGATATCAATAGGTTACTCAGTTCTCTTATGTTCTCTTTCCCTCAGGATCCTCAGGAACTCTCGAAACCTCTCGAAACCTTTTCTCCAAGCAGGTCACAAATGGGTAGTTGTAATGGTCAAAATTTGCAGTTCCCGGCATAATTTGGTTTCAATCCATCGTTTTGTTTCAACGTGTCCCAAAGAAACGCCACGAAAACCGCGGACCCGTCGTCACATTGACTCCTTTTTGAAATTGATGACCAGGAAGATTGACAACACGTGCGACACATGGCCCTTCGTCCCTACCACTAGGTGCTAGTCCCGTTTTTAGCAACCTCAAATACACACATGTATGATATTGTATGATCATGTATGTTTCATGCTGGCAGGCACAAAAAACTTTTACCAGTAGCTTCAGATTGCTTCATCGGAGTTGCCAAGGTATAAGCTACAACAAAAGGGCGACGCAGACCAATACAAACACAATCAAACACACACACACAAAGCAGTCGCCTTTTCCCCGGATTCGCAAAAACACGCCGACGGCCGAGGTCTTTTGTGTGTGCAAGTAGAAAAATGAATGTCCAAGAGCGGCGTAAATGAGATGATGGACTCAGAATGACTATGAGATCGACCAAAGAATCACTGTTGCAATCTCTTCCATGTCGTTACTTCTGAATGTAGAGCTAAAACTCTCACAGGCCTTGAGCGGTGGCTCCACGCACCTAAGCTGCAGTCTTTCATAGATGTTCTGATTCTCAACTTAAACTACAATATGTACAGTACATAGGACTCACAAGAACAAGGACTTTGATGACTCTGCTCATAAACCATCAGCAGAAACCTATATTATCTATATTAAATTAACAATTGTTAACATAATGTCTCCAAATTTGGGAAAGTCCTGGCTCCCCGACCCTTTCAATCATCTCATTTCTCAAGGTGAGGTCCACGCCTCCCTGACAGGATTCAGGATCCAATGGACAGAGCGCAACAAATCGAGGGGTTCCAAATTGGTCCAACACGTCATGCACATTGCACTCCAGCTCACAGCGCCTGGGTTCTTCGATTCCTTAATCTATCCTGCATCTTCGGGAGCTGAGAGCGGTATCATGCTGATTTCATACTGCTTTCATATGCTCATATGCTTTTCATGCTGATTTCATGCTCCATCCTTGCAGATTGTCCTGCTCACCATCTTCGAACTCCAAAGTGCCACAATCCACGATGACCTTCATGGGGTCATTGGGATCAACCCAATTTCCATTCGCAAAATACTGCCAAAGTGCTGCAAAATAAGCCGCAAGGGGGATCATTCAGCATCAGACAGCATTTTCCACTGGCTCACCATCGACTGCGCCTTGGCACAAATCCAAGTATGCTCCCCTATTGATTAACAACTCTTCTAGCAGGACAAGGTCTGTAGGATGAGTAGAGCCCTGAGTCAACAGTGTCAATGTCCACGGCAGCGACTTGCCCTCGTTGTCCCTCAGCATTGGGAACATGTCAAATAAGTTCGGCTGAGGTGCCAATGGATTCGATAGCCTTCACCACCTCATAGCCTTCCAAGACCTGCCAGGAGCATTTCAAAACGTAAACACAATTCGATCCCATCACATGAATCAATATGGTTGGTAGGGGATTCCCATGGCATCATGCTTTACCTAGTGACACTCGTAGTATTGTATTCTATTATTTCCAACTATAATCTTTTATAATATATAAATTATATATATCATATATTACAGCATAACAATTCAAGTGTCAAAATCGATTATATGTATGCATATATATATGTATATATGAAGTCATACCAACACTATGCGTCAACCGCATTCAACAGGCTCTTCCTTACCAAGGGGTTTCTGGGTAACCCATCCCTGGTCACCTCGCCAAAGCCCACCGACTTGAAGTTCAAGTGCTCAGCCTGGAATGGAGATGACTGGAGCTGGAACCTCCTCATGACACAATGGTCCCATGGTCCCCATGGTCCCCACAGCACCTTGGCAGTGGTGATGAAGAACTGCGAGCCGTTGGTGTTTGGCCCACCATTGGCCATAGCAATCAAGCCTTTGCTCTTGAACTTCATGCGAAGATTCTGCGGGCGGAGGAATTGGTCTGGTGTGGATTCCAAACCCTAGCATGGTGGGCTTTGGTGGGCTTAGCGCTCAGGAATGGGGAAAATTACTCGACTTACTTCCCAGATTCTTTCTAAACTTCCTACATCATCTACATCATGACATGGGCATTTCTTGAACTGGGATAACTGGGGTACTCCTTATCACCATTGGCTTCCCGGTTTCCCCATGAAAAATGGTCGCATTGCCCGGGCAGCTGGCCTCATCTTCAAAGGCTGGGCCGTAGATGGACTCACCACCTGAGCCCTCCTCGTTCTCGAAGGTTTGGCCTCCCTGGCGCGGTCACAAGATGGAGCGATGGAGTGGAATCAGGTGTTTCCGGTGTTTCCTGGGAATCAATCCCCATCCTTCATACCATCATATATCATCGCACCCAGTGGATCCCATGGAACAATGCCACAGTTCCTCTGGTTCCGATCCAAAATCATTGTCTAAAAGTCTAAAGATTTTGAGCAACTGCAGGAAATTGTGACAAGGATGACTTGGTCAGTATTCATTGCATAGAATTTTCCTCCAAAAATCCAAAGAGGCATGGGCAAGGTGGCACTACAGTTGTTGGATTTCTTATGTCTGCCGCTGGCCTGAACACAAAAGCCTGGGATCACTCGGTGGAACCTGCCGGTGGGAGTCGCTGCTAGACGACTTGAAGGCTTGACTGTGTCAGACCCAGCGTGCCTGGTTCCCTTGTAGTGGAGTGGCTCGCCCGTGCTCTCACTGGTTCCCTGACACACAATGGACAGAGTATGGATATGTTCTATATTTTCGATTATCATCTTCCATCATCTTTTATGATCCACATTCAACTGATCCATCAAGCACAGTGGCATACCCCATGTCCTGCTGTGAAATGGGTCGGTGCCTTTTCGCCAGTGCAAAGGCACTTGAAGTTCTCCACCTGAAATTCTATCAGGATATTTGAATAATCTGCGTCTGGCAACGGATGTAATAGAAGGCACTGCAAACAGCAAGATTCCATGCGCGGCAAACAGAAATCCTTGATTTTTTGGCAGTTCAACACGCTAAATTGGGATCTCCCATCCATCCCATCCATGAGATCCACACAGTTCGAGGCATCGTGTCACCATAGAGGCCAAAGACCTCGTTGGAGCCCATGTCGTGTCGCCCTCTACAGCACAACATGTGTCGTCCTAAACCTAGGAGCCTCCCCTCGATTTTAGCATCGCAAAGTGGGATAGTGACAGCGGGATACAGCGAGTTTGAGTCATAGGCGATGCGTCCCATTTTGTTGTCATCAATCTCGATGTCAAAGAAACATTTCTGCGTGATCTCAAATTTCAGGTCCTTAAAGCCAGAGTGCAGCTGCATTGGAGAGTTGCGCTCTCCAACACTGGAGGAAGGCTTGTGACTCAGGAATCCGAGGTTCAAAGCAAAACACATAGAGTAATGAAAACGTGATGTTTGACTCCCTAACTGCAGCAGTAAGTACATGTTTGGCTTTGTATGGCTTTGTGTAGCAGACCTTAACCACCTAAACAGTGCTTCAATTATGCTTTCAAGAGTCTTGAACATCTCTCGTGCAGGGTTGATCCTTTAGCTAAGTATCATCCAGGTGTGGAGTGAGCTGGACATCAATCCCCACAATTAACATCCATAGCACAATTGCAAAGCTGAGCATACCGACTGCCTTTTTCTTCTCACCTTCGAGTAAGAAGCGCTCACTCACAGGTTCGAAGCGATCATAAGCATACCTCAAGCATGGAATGTTGCACCGTTCCAAAAAGTGGATATAAATTATAAAACTCTTTTGAACTAGTTCCTTGCCATTCAAAGCGCTGCACAGAAACAAGGGGCTAGTTTCTCTGAGGACAGAACCAGTTCTGCTCCCGTGTCCGCTTTTCAAGCCAAATCACAATGCAGCGCTCACCATATTCGCCATCATCAAGAGTGTAGTACCTTTCAAGACTGATGATATTGGCAATAGCAACTTGGCAAGTGGTGAATCTGGAGTAATTTATAAACTATATATAAACATATTATCTTGCAGTAGAAAGACGTGGAAAGTCTAGCAGAATGCCAATGCATGTTGTGACCTGTCACTGCGGCTCCAAGCTAAGCAAAAGCGCACGAGTCCTGGACATCAACTTCGTATAGAACCTGCCAAGCATTTTTGATATTGATATTTCTGTGGGGTCTGAGAGAGGCCTCCCGAGCCCCCGCTGTTCCAATCAACACTGTCATGCCATGGAAAACGGATTCACAGTCCATGTGTTCTAACATATCTGTCACTGCAGCAATCTGCAGCAACTGTCCCCAAACCAAGAAAGTCTCATTACCTCACACATCCTCGAACCAAATTCAACAACTATGACTATGATGAATGATGATTGATGTTGATTATATATATGATTATATCATGTATTCTTTTGCGGGGACACATCAATCTGCTGTCATCGGACTCCCAAAACGTTGCCCGGCTCTGGGCCTTATCATTGATCACCAGGCCGCCTTTCTCTGGGACCAGTCCAGCCCTCAGTGGGCAAATTCAACGCCAAAGGCTGGTTGCTTCGAATGGAAGTTCCTACACATACAACATGCAACATATATGGAGGTCTCCATAAATGGGGGTAGTACCCCAAAAAAATGGTTTACAATGGAAAACCTATCAACATGGTCATGGTGTTCTTACTAGGGTTCATGCTATATCAACTTTGCCCCCCCAGCCTGCCATGCACTTGAGCTCTGGACTTCAAGGTCCAATCACGGCAATCAAAAATGACATCCTGAAGTCTCAGCATCGAAAAGTTGTCCTTGAGCTCCTTGAGATGCATTGAATACCATTAAACAAAGGTTTCAAGTTGATGGATGTTAATCGCATCTTGTCCACTTTGCAGTCGCATTCTACTCAAGACTGGCTTCAAGAAATCCAACCCTGTGTTGTGTCACACCCTGAAAACAGAAGCAGGCCTGCTTCTTGACATCGTCAGCAATGGGAATATAAATGATAACGGCCTCGTGCTACAGTGAACATGACAAGCAATCCTCCACTGAGACAAGACTCCGCAAACACCCATTTTGTCTTTGTGGCACCAATGGGCCCACTGACAGTGGATCTGAGTGTTACATAAGTTATATCATATATTATATATACATATAATATCATATAATCATATATTCTGTTTCAACAGAGCCAAGGCAGAGTTTGTGCGGCCGATGTTTCGAGGTCCCAACCTCTGTACACTTGGAAAGCGTCCAGTAGTAGCCTGAAAGGAAAGATACTCTTTGAAGCAGAATCTGGTCATTCACACCATCAGTAATCGCACTCTCTGACTCCAAACTCCCTACAGAAAATGCATGTGGCCCATTTAGATACATATAGCAAGTGCCCAAGGAACGATTCGTAGCAAACATGTGTTCCAAAATGACCATGAAGCATATGGTAGACCCTCATGTCACTTGCAATAAGTCTTCATTCGGACTCTTCTTCCAAATGCCTGACGAGTCAGTCGTAGATCCCAAGCACTAAATTAAAGCGGTTGGAGTTGAGAATGTACAATTATAGTATATATATACATATCATACACATAATGAACATATATATATATAATGAATATATATATATATAATATTAGAATATAACATACGTATAGTATAGATAATATATATATATAGAACACATTCAAAACATTGTTTTCCAGTGAATCAAGTAAGTTGCAACTCAAGCCAAAGCTGTGACTCTAGATCCTTGTGACACGTTTTTTCTGTGATTGGTCCGTCCCATTCAGATGGACATGATATGACATTATCACAAATAATCCTTTCAAACAACGAGGACAAGAACACCTGCTTGGAACCAACGGATTTGAGGCCTTCTGCCATCGGCTATCTCCAGCGGATCAAAATGCCTGTTCCACCAAGTTCCAGGCCATTTCCATGAATGGGATATCCATCCAAGGTGAGGTCTCGTCGAAATGGATGCAGTTGCACTCTCCTACATCTCCTGTGGCGTTGCTGTCCGAAGATGCATTATCATCATTATCTAGCGGCCAGGGGATTCCCAACATCCAAATGCGCAAAACCCAGAATGACTGAGTCTCCTTCTCTCTCCCAGCACGATAGACAATCCCAAACATGCTGCAGCAATCTTTTCTCTGCCTCAGAGATTGCCGATTTCTGTGGGTAATCATTCTTCAACAGTGATCTGCCATAATTCCCCGGCAGCAAGAAAAACACCACAGCTTGGGGAATTGGACATCTGCATTTCACATCAAGCAGCTGAAGTCCACAATCAGAAGCAAAATCTCACGGTAAATTAGCATAAAAACGAAATGAATCAACGTCAAAACTGTTCCAAAAAGCACATACTGTTCCATGTTTTTTTTTGAAGACATAATCTCTTAGCAGGACCCGATTTTCAGATCTTTTCAGATTGTCTTTGGAACCCTGCCAATGGACGTCTGAGACTTTGGAGCCAGTGGCCTCGCCTCATGTGAGAGTGAACAGAAACCCACTCCACTCAGCCCCGTTGATGCGCACAGAAGATGTCAGAAATGTTCAGAAGACAACTCAATGCTTCCAGGAAAGAATGCAGCTTGATAGAGATCAACTTTGAGGCTTCACATGGTTTCACAAATCACTGTCTTTCCATGAATTTCCAGGGTGGAGATCCCAAATTCGTTACTATCCCATCTAGCACTCAGAGCAGGACGGCCGATCTTGGCACTGACGTCACTCTGCCCAAACCTGGCATTTCTGATAGATTATGTATTTATATACATATAATGTCATTACTGTATAATCATGTGTAATCTATGACTGTACAATGTGATACGAGTACGATGTGTATATATATATATACACAGGTATACACTTGTACCTACTCCTATATATATATACACGTATATATACTGTGAATTATATACATACATATATATATATATATGTATACATATTTTTTTACCATCATTTCTCTACCCACACCCAATCATCACTGGCCTGTGACACCCGCAGTGCCGGGCCAAGCGATCGGCAACATCGAAAGGTGCCAAGCCAGCTCCTGGTTGCAAATATCGAAGGGTCACCAACCATAAAATGCGGATATCATATCATACATAATATTGGAAAACAAGATGGAGACATGGTGATATATGATATATATATATAATATACAGTCGTATATAATATTGCAAAATTGAACATTGGAATACATTGGAATATACTTGGATATACCATCATCAATATGACGTTTGGGTGTGTCTGAAAATGGTGTATGCCCTCCAAATATGGATAATATCACTATGATATATCACTGTCACTATTAATTATATTTGCGCGTCTCTGAAAATGGTGTATGGCGATTTCAAGCGGGAAATTTATGTTCAAGCAATGGTCTTGGGGGTGCTCAATTTTCAGACAAACCCATGCAACAGAGGGCCAACCATCGAGCTACCAAACCAGGGATTTAGAAGATCGGAGGGGTGAACAACAACAAGCATCTCCGCAAATCAATGATTGTCATGGTATCTTCATCACCAAAGCGTGTTAGCTGTTGCATTGAGGAGTGCAGCATCACACACCGAACCCAATTCAACTTACGTCCGGAAACAGCCATGCTGTGGTTGTACTACTACTGTACAAATGTATATACTTGATTGTAAGTACTATATCATCTGTCTACAGCCCGAACACGAAGATTTATGAGGGGCAAAAGCCACAGCCATTTTTTGTCTTCTGTTCTTCTCTGCTCACAGCAGCGTCGTTCAGCAATTCAACAGGCGTCGACAGAGAGCCTAGCAAGCGCAGCACGGCAGAAGTCAATCCTGGCAGTCTCTTTCACATCTTTCGCAGTATCAACATGTATCAACCAGAGATTTCAGACTTCAGACCAATTCTCAATCCCATCAATCCCATCAATCCCATTCTCAATTCAGCAGTTTTTCTTCACCATATTTCACCATATTTCACCATAGATTTAGCATAGATCTAGCCATATTTCGCCAGTGGCACATCCGAGGATCCGCGCCTCGGTGTAGTTCCTCTGTGGATGAACCGAGGCCTGGAAGCGGCTGCCGCGGACACCTGGAGGAGGATCCAACCAAGCCTGAGATCGCTGTCACTGGAGGGATCAAAAAGGGATAAAAAGGGCTGAAAAACATCCGGCCTTTCAGAGTTTCAGGATATTTTAAGGCTTCTAGTTTGGCACAATTCAAGTCTGACACTCACCCAACAATTTAACTGTGAGAAGTTTGCCTTCTGCTTGCAACTACACTGAGCGATATCATCTTCGTAGCACATCCAATGAACATCAATATCAACCCGTTCAAACCACACATCCAATCATCTTAAGGAGACACTATGTCACTCACTCACAATGTACATGGGGGAGTGATTGGAATTTATGAGCTGTGGGCACACAGAAACGGCTACCTCGGCAAGCACCGGCTGGAAGGTGGTAGTGACACGTGCAGCCTTGCCACGAATCTGGTCGTGGGTCTTTCAACAGATTTGATCCTTCAAGTGTATCGTGACTTCTGTTAATGTCACTAGAGCTACCGGTATGACAGCCCGACAAGCCCGTTTGAGAGGGAAATGCCGTGTATATATAAATAATATTATATAATTCAGTATATAATACATAATTATTATATATATAATATATATATTATTTGAATATTCAATTGTATTCATGTATTTCATGTCTATTGTAGATATTCCATAGTATTCCACAGTATTCCAGTCATAGTATTCCATAGTATTCAATAGTATTCCATATTATAGAACACCCAACATGTCTTTGAGCCACATGTCGGTGAATTGTTCTCATGATAGGGGCTGAATTATCTGCCCATCTGCAGTATTGATTAAGATGTTTGTGGTACTGAGACGGTGTCATGACTGGCTATGATGGGTGGAGCTCCACCCATTTCATAGATTGCTACCTGAAAGCGGTCTGAACAGTTGTCAATTGTAATAATTACTTACTTACCCCCAAAAATAACAAACATCCCCAATACAGGACCAGGAAATCAAGAGACCCACTACTATAAGCCAGGGTTTTATGGGAACGGATTGTTGTATCGGCAACGACAAGCAGGCTACAGTACTCATGGATGATAAATGGAGGAGTGGAAACGCGACAGTACTTGCCTCCTTCAAATACTTGTTGACCTTCTTGTAGGCCTGCTGTTGCGACTTTCGAAATGCAGGAAGCTTAATCTGGATGCTGGTCAAAACCAAGGGAAGCAACGTACAGGGAACACACCATGCCCCTATGCATGCAAAAACAAAGGAACGTTTCAACGTTCGAATCATGTATGAGAACTCAAGAATTGAGTGCTTTGATTGGTAATAACAACATGTAGCAACAAAAACCATCTGTTAAAGGCATCGCAGTAAGACTTAGAACTGCTAGTAAGCAGATGTACCGTGATAGACATTCCCTTTGTCTCGTACGTAATATGATCATATAATCATATCACATATTGGTCCAATGTCTAATCATTCAAGTTTAGGAAAAAGCACACTAGAATCAGGAAGGAATCAACACCTCGGACTCCTGGACATTGTGACTCTACGAGGATGCCTTCAACGCTTTTCATGTTTTGATCATCCCCTGCTTTGCTCTGCCTCTGGCATGAAGCGGCGAAGAGCACCCACGGCATAACTACCTGTCAAGCGCGAAGCAAAGCTCCAAAACTGGGGCAAGCTTCCAACAAAAGCATCGTTGATCAAGTTGATCATAATCTAGATGATTCCTAGATGTTCTGCATTGTTCTACCAAATAAAGCCCTGAAACGTACGAGTTTTTCTCCAATTGGGGACCACAATGAATAGCTGGCTGCCTTTGTGGTACTGCAAGATCACATGCCGAGATCGCGCGCTCATGAGAGCCGGCACCGGATCCTCACAGTGCCAAGTCGACGTGGACGTCATGGATTGCATTGGATTGCAGATAGCTGGCTGCCGCTGGCTCCTGTGAAAAACTCCAAGCTCGAGACCTGGGAGCTTTCTTTTGCAGTACCTGAAGGCAGTGGAAACCTTGCAACACGTTAGAACATGTTACATGTTACAAACATATCCGCGGCCGCTGACTCAAGAATGCTAAAGTCTGATCAAACTTCCTGATGTACTGTACCAGCACCTCACTGGAACCATCGCTTCAGCAGTTTCAGCAGCGTTTTGAACTAACGAATGGTTCAGTCTCCCGTATGATTTACCTGCCGCAGCCAGCTTGCATAACTTGCACGGCCACCAATTTCTGCTACCAAGTCTCCGTGTGAAGCTCATGAAGTGCCCGTGTTGTCTCTGGTTTGCCACTTCCTCTGCCAACAATGTTTGGAGCTCCGAAAGTTACCTCGCTGCAGAATTCTTGAACCCAAGCCATTGAGGGCGAACTGGAAGGTGACAGCCATCATCAAACTACAGTACATCGAACACAGGGCAAGGAAAATCCATGCATGATCATCAAAGCATCTCTGCGCTCATCAAAAGCACACAAGTACTATTGAATACATCTGATCAACACCAACACAAACTTCGGTTCTTGTATCAATCTCATCATTCCTAGAAGACTCTTCGTTTCATATACAGTAGAAGTATCATACACATTAATGATCATTAATGATCATTAATGATCATTAATGATCATTTACTCTAGATGTACATCGATGATAGACGCCTTGAATTCCCCATGCCAAGATGATCCAAGATGCCACCAACATCTCGCGACATGGCAGGGCTTCGTCTTGCCTCAGCCCATCACCGTCCGTGGCACCACGTGGCACGGCCGCAGAGATCTCAACTAAGGCTCCAACGCCTCGGCGACCAGTTCTGCATGGGACACTGACCTTAGAAGCATGGCCTGATACCATAGATGTTTCTGCTATGTATAGATCCACAGATCTGCTATATAATATGATTATATACATATAATTATATATATATAATATATATTTATAGACATAATAATATATCATTATTATGTAAAACCATTATATATAATTGATACACATATATAATATCACTACGTAGTAATAATTTATCGTGAATATTCGTGAATAATCCCTTCCCTCTAATATTAAACACCCCCTTAGAAACCATGGTTTAGCAGGGAATTTCCACATAATTGGGACCATTTATGGGCTGTTTAATATTAGGGTGATGGGATTAATATGTTAAGGTCACAAGGTATCTCAACATAAGATACTGGACCCCGGCTACCTTCCAAAAGAAGAATTAGATTTCCTCGGCCACCACACCACTGAATGGCCGCAGCCAGTGCATTGGCACCACCTTTAGAGCCACCGCACAAGATCAAGGTTTCCTGCGAGGTCGCCGGCAGCGTGTCTAACATTATTTTTGTATCAAAATGAATCAAAATGAAAATTTTACTATATGTTTTACTTTACTGGGCAAAAATGATCCTAAGCCATTGCATTCTGGGTACCCGATTTTCGATTTCCAGACAAACCCAAGTCGAGGAAGTGTGGACAAATGTGGGGGACACTTTTTTCCATCCTACTTTAACACGTCTGCGAAATAGGAAAATGCCTAGCTAAGGCCCAAAAGAACCGGATATTCTCTCGACGATCTTTCCGTTTGTTTCAGCTTGCGGATGACCAGTTGATGTAAGATGATGTAAGTATTTCTTAGTCAGTGCAAAAAAGCTATTTAGTGTTGCCACCACTGAAGAGTGATGGACCACCTGTGTAATGGGATGAATTCTCTCAAAGAATCAAGCAACTGTTGCAAAACGTACTCATCGTGCTCTCTCCCACTAGCACACGAATGCACGAGATACAAACGCCAACTTCAGGGAAGCGGGAAGTGTTTTTTGAACCCCGTGTTTCCCGTTGCGGTGCAGACATATTGCCAAGACACCCCTCACAACAACGTGCAGTGGACTGTGTGATAGCACATTCTTCCTTGACCAAAAACTGGGGCTCGAACGAATGGAACTCCAGCAGATGCTTCTCGGATAGCTTCTAAAAGGCAAAGAGATTCCGCCTCACAGGGAGGATTTGGCTCACATGATGGACCTTTGATAGAACACAAAGAGTTTTCTGCAGTCAAACTGCCAAATCTATGTCGTATGTAATCTCCAAAGCTAAGCTGCTGTCAACCCAAGGTTGATCAAACATGTATTTCAATGTATTTCATACATGTCCACTTTAGTTTTTTTCATCCATGTCCAATGATTTCTTCAACAAATTTGACAACGGGCTTTAGTGGAGCACAATGGTGTTAGCAGAGCTCTGTGGCGTGTGATATGCACATCATAAATCAATCATCTGTTTCACTCACAAAATTCACGGTTCTGTGTCCTGCTCTTAAAGCACCATGGTAGAAGGCATTCCCATGTATTGCGCACATGCAATAGCACATTAATTACAACCTTCCCAATCTCCATAAACAGTTATAGGCCATAAGAACATCACCAAACAAATTCGAAAAATCTTGTTGGAAAAAGGTAGTGCACGAGGAGCATGATGGTATAAGTGCTGCAAGATCGTATTTGGAGAGCACCATGGTTTGGGTGCAGCGTGGTAGGCTGAACAAAATGGATCCAAATAGTCCATATGACCACCACTGAGCCTCTGCAGTGCTCCAAAACCCACTGTGGAGCAGGAGCACTCCTGCAAATGACACCAGGCACTCGTTTGTACTGGCACAACACTACCAAGAAACAAGTCCTTCAAAGGGCATGGAACTGCAAGTTGATCAAATTTGTCAATTCACCACAGACGGTTAAAAGATCAACAGGTCCTTGCCACGCAGGTACAACAACACGTCGAAGGGACAAGTAGCCTGGGTGAAAGGCTGGACCCTTTCAAATGTTCTGGAGATTTGAGCCAACAACGAAGTAATAACGAAATCAGATAGTGTTACACTTTCGGTCCGTTGGCTGCAGGGCTGCTGAAACCCTGTCCCCAGGGTTGTGGTAAGTATTGATACACTATTAACATTTGGATATCTTTTCAAATCAGTTAAAGTACATCGATCAGATTCGATTGTATCCACCAACCATCAACATCAACCAACATCAACCAGCTACTTCACCTTCATCATCACTACGCGCCAAGTTCAGTCAGGTCGCTGTTTTCCGTCCAGTCCAGCACCGTTTCGGATCCACGGAAGACCACAAAGCAGCTGCCCCAGCAGTCTCGGAGTACGGCCCACCTGTCGGGACCGGAACCAACATGGGAGCCATGGGAGGAGCCATGGGGTTCTCATCTTCATTTCAGCTAGCCAGCTCCTGAATCTCCTGATTCTCCTGATCTCTCTTGAAAATTAAAGTCTTTCCCATCACCACCTACTGGATGATCATGATTGTTTTTGGTTAAAGTCAAGTTTTTGCAGGTCAAACAAACACTGTGCTTCGTTAAATCCCATCTTTCCCATCCATTTGGCCGAGAATCTGCAAATTGATCCCATGGTGCTCTTCCGGTGTTTGAAGCTTCACCAGTTCTAAACCTGGAGACGAGCTGCTCACCGCACGGATTTAACGACAGAACAACATTTTATGCGGCGCCTGGAACGGGCAAATGCTCCAGGGATGGCTCGTAGATCCATTCAGACAAAGCCTCGGCATCTCGGCATCTCGGCATCTCGGCATCTCGGCATGGTCCCATGTCCAATTTTGGTCCATGGTGTTGCTAACGGACCTTGTTGACCTGGGGATGGGGGTGGTATATTCATAATATCATAACATAGAATCAGAAGATTCAAGACTCGAACAGTGCTTCGAAACTTCCTGCTGGGCAAACTACTCCATCTTTTGCAGAAACTAATTGGCTGAAGACTTCTTATTTGCTTGGAAACAATGGAAATCCATCTCAGGCTGCTTCAAATGCTGAGTTTCCAACAGCACAAGCCAAATCAGGTGGCAAGCGCGCCCCTTCTGATCGCGTGAAGCAGGAGATGAGCCCTGGAGCGGGTGAGTGGAAGCCTGGGAGGCTTGGAATGGGAAATTGATATGATTTTTCAAATTGTATGAACTTGTGAGATTGTGATCCGTGTTGGCAAACTCGTAACTTCACCAAATGGACTGATTGGCAAACGAATCGGCAAATGGAAGAGACTTATGTCTGCATGAAAGGAGTGATGACTCTATGAACACGACGCTTTGGATTTTCTGATGATCCCTCGATTGTTTCATGCACATCAATCGAGATCTGGCGGTCAAGATCAGTGGCGCATGACTCACGGATTTGTGGAACCAGCTCCATCCCCAAGGGTACCCAATATGGATGATACACAAATCCCCAAACTTGGATTCCGACTTCTCCATCAAAGGGAACCAAAAAGTATGAATAATGTAACTATCAATCGATCATTCCTCAAACGTTTCCCAAGATTACTTACAACACGCACACACACACACACTTTATTATAGATTATCATAGATTATTATAGATTGTTATTATAGTATACAGTATATATATATATAGAATCCTATAGAAACATTAGATACCCGTGGCCCACCGCCAAAGCACCATGTTCATGCCGCGCACCTCGGATGGTTGCCATCCGTTCGGGGTAATCGGCATCTTTGGCCTTGATGACCTGTTCAATCGGCCGTTCAATCTGGGGGGGCAGCAGGCTGATGCTATGGCATTCTACTGGATAATGTTTGCACCCGATTAGTGTCCTGGTACCCTATTGTGAGAACTTTCTTGCTCCTAATTCAGTCACATGCAAATTGTTGGGGGGGAACTCTATTGTGAGATTTTTTTCCAGATGAGATTTCTTTCCAGATTTTTTTTTTCATTTTCTTTTTCCAAATGCTTTAACTTTTTTTAAAAAATATGTTTTCTAATCAATTATTTATGTTTATTAAATTTTTAATTTTATTTTAAATGCCTTATTAAACCCTTATTAAAAAACAGCATCCAGACAATTTTTCAAAGGGGTACCTCATGAGTGGCTCAGTTACTCAATAATATAATTGTTTGGATGGTACTCTATTGTGAGCACCAACTTTTGGGATTGAAAAAAAAACAAAACCCTTTCTCCACCTTTCTTTGGGTAAAGCTGGCCCTTTCACTTTAGAAAGCCATAGTTGTGTTAAAGCTTTAAAATGCAAGGTTTCCCAAATAATTAGATGCCTTATTAAACCCTTATTAAAAAACAGCACTCAGACAATTTTTCAAGGGGGTACCTCATGAGTGGCTCAGTTACTCAATAATATAATTGTTTGGATGGTACTCTATTGTGAGCACCAACTTTTGGGAGTGAAAAAAAAACAAAACCTTTCTCCACCTTTCTTTGGGTAAAGCTGGTCCCTTTACTTTAGAAAGCCATATTTGTGTTAAAGCTTTAAAATGCAAGGTTTACCAAATAATTAGATGCCTTATTAAACCCTTATTAAAAACAACACCCAGACAATTTTTCAAGGGGGTACCTCATGAGTGGCTCAGTTACTCAATAATATAATTGTTTGGATGGTACTCTATTGTGAGCACCAACTTTTGGGAGTGAAAAAAAACCTTTCTCCACCTTTCTTTGGGTAAAGCTGGTCCTTTTACTTTAGAAAGCCATATTTATGCTAAAGCTTTAAAATGCAAGGTTTTCCAAATAATTAGATGCCTTATTAAACCCTTATTAAAAAACAGCACTCAGACAATTTTTCAAGGGGGTACCTCATGAGTGGCTCAGTTACTCAATAATATAATTGTTTGGATGGTACTCTATTGTGAGCACCAACTTTTGGGAGTGAAAAAAAAACAAAACCCTTTCTCCACCTTTCTTTGGGTAAAGCTGGTCCTTTTACTTTAGAAAGCCATATTTATGTTAAAGCTTTAAAATGCAAGGTTTTCCAAGTAATTAGATGCCTTATTAAACCCTTATTAAAAAAGAGCATCCAAACAATTTTTCAAAGGGGTACCTCATGAGTGGCTCAGTTACTCAATAATATAATTGTTTGGATGGTACTCTATTGTGAGCACCAACTTTTGGGGGTGAAAAAAAACAGCAAACCCCTTTCTCCACCTTTCTTTGGGTAAAGCTGGTGCCTTTACTTTAGAAAGCTATATTGGTGTTAAAACTTTAAAATGCAAGGATTTCCAAATAATTAGATACCTGAAAAAACCATAATTGGCTCAGTTACTCAATAATATAATTGTTTGGATGGTACTCTATTGTGAGCACCAACTTGTGGGAGTGAAAAAAAACAAAACCCTTTCTCCACCTTTCTTTGAGTAAATCTGGTGCATTTACTTCAGAAAGCTATATTTGTGTTAAAGCTTTAAAATGCAAGGTTTTCCAAATAATTAGATGCCTTATTAAACCCTTATTAAAAAACAGCACCCAGACAATTTTTCAAGGGGATACCTCATGATTGGCTCAGTTACTCAATAATATAATTGTTCGGATGGTACTCTATTGTGAGCACCAACTTGTGGGAGTTAAAAAAACACAAAACCCTTTCTCCACCTTTCTTTGGGTAAAGCTGATGCCTTTACTTTAGAAAGCCATATTTGTGTTAAAACTTTAAAATGCAAGGTTTTCCAAATAATTAGATACCTGAAAAAACCATAATTGGCTCAGTTACTCAATAATATAATTGTTTGGATGGTACTCTATTGTGAGCACCAACTTTTGGGGGTGAAAAAAAAAAGCAAACCCCTTTCTCCACCTTTCTTTGGGTAAAGCTGGTGCCTTTACTTTAGAAAGCTATATTTGTGTTAAAACTTTAAAATGCAAGGATTTCCAAATAATTAGATACCTGAAAAAACCATAATTGGCTCAGTTACTCAATAATATAATTGTTTGGATGGTCTCTATTGTGAGCACCAACTTGTGGGAGTGAAAAAAAACAAAACCCTTTCTCCACCTTTCTTTGAGTAAATCTGGTGCCTTTACTTCAGAAAGCTATATTTGTGTTAAAGCTTTAAAATGTAAGGTTTTCCAAATAATTAGATGCCTTATTAAACCCTTATTAAAAAACAGCACTCAGACAATTTTTCAAGGGGGTACCTCATGAGTGGCTCAGTTACTCAATAATATAATTGTTTGGATGGTACTCTATTGTGAGCACCAACTTTTGGGAGTGAAAAAAAAACAAAACCTTTCTCCACCTTTCTTTGGGTAAAGCTGGTCCTTTTACTTTAGAAAGCCATATTTATGCTAAAGCTTTAAAATGCAAGGTTTTCAAAATAATTAGATGCCTTATTAAACCCTTATTAAAAAACAGCACTCAGACAATTTTTCAAGGGGGTACCTCATGAGTGGTTCAGTTACTCAATAATACAATTGTCTGGATGGTACTCTATTGTGAGCACCAACTTTTGGGGGTGGAAAAAAAAAACTTTCTCCACCTTTCTTTGGGTAAAGCTGGTCCTTTTACTTTAGAAAACCATATTTGTGTTCAAGCTTTAAAATGCAAGGTTTCCCAAATAATTAGATGCCTTATTAAACCCTTATTAAAAAACAGCACCCAAACAATTTTTCAAGGGGATACCTCATGATTGGCTCAGTTACTCAATAATATAATTGTTTGGATGGTACTCTATTGTGAGCACCAACTTTTGGGAGTGAAAAAAAAGCAAAACCCTTTCTCCATCTTTCTTTGGGTAAAGCTGATCCTTTCACTTTAGAAAGCCATATTTGTGTTAAAACTTTAAAATGCAAGGCTTTCCAAATAATTAGATACCTGAAAAAACCATAATTGGCTCAGTTACTCAATAATATAATTGTTTGGATGGTACTCTATTGTGAGCACCAACTTGTGGGAGTGAAAAAAAAAAAACAAAACCCTTTCTCTACCTTTCTTTGAGTAAATCTGGTGCCTTTACTTCAGAAAGCTATATTTGTGTTAAAGCTTTAAAATGCAAGGTTTTCCAAATAATTAGATGCCTTATTAAACCCTTATTAAAAAACAGCACCCAGACAATTTTTCAAGGGGATACCTCATGATTGGCTCAGTTACTCAATAATATAATTGTTTGGATGGTACTCTATTGTGAGCACCAACTTTTGGGAGTGAAAAAAAACAAAACCCTTTCTCCACCTTTCTTTGGGTAAAGCTGGTCCTTTACTTTAGAAAGCCATATTTGTGTTAAAGCTTTAAAATGCAAGGTTTTCCAAATAATTAGATGCCTTATTAAACCCTTATTAAAAAACAGCACCCAGACAATTTTTCAAGGGGATACCTCATGATTGGCTCAGTTACTCAATAATATAATTGTTTGGATGGTACTCTATTGTGAGCACCAACTTTTGGGAGTGAAAAAAAAAACCCTTTCTCCACCACCTCTTGGGTAAAGCTGGTGCTAAAGCTTTACTGTAAAATGCAAGGTGGACAATTTTTCAAGGGGGTACCGCATGAGTGGCCCAGTTACTCAACAATATAATTGTTTGGATGGTACTCTATTGTGAGCACCAACTTTTGGGAGTGAAAAAAAAAACAAAACCCTTTCTCCACCTTTCTTTGGGTAAAGCTGGTCCTTTTACTTTAGAAAGCCATATTTATGTTAAAGCTTTAAAATGCAAGGTTTTCCAAATAATTAGATGCCTTATTAAACCCTTATTAAAAAACAGCACTCAGACAATTTTTCAAGGGGGTACCTCATGAGTGGCTCAGTTACTCAATAATATAATTGTTTGGATGGTACTCTATTGTGAGCACCAACTTTTGGGAGTGAAAAAAATAAAAGTAAATTAAAAGTAAATTGAAATCAATTGAAAGTAAATTGAAAGTAAAGTAAAAGTAAATTGAAATCAATTGAAAGTAAATTGTAAATTGAAATCAATTGAAAGTAAATTGAAATCAATTGAAAGTAAATTGAAATCAATTGAAAGTAAATTGAAATCAATTGAAAGTAAATTGAAATTGAAAGTAAATTGAAATCAATTGAAAGTAAATTGAAATCAATTGAAAGTAAATTGAAAGTAAATTGAAATCAATTGAAAGTAAATGGAAATCAATTGAAAGTAAATTGAAATCAATTGAAAAAAGTTGCGAGTTATAGAGTATCCTCAAATTGTTTGGGGGGGGGGGCCCTCACACTAATCAGATGCAAACATTAATCATATTGGATATAACCACACTGGATATAGACATACCCATACTGGATGATATTGGATGATATTGGTATTCTAGAAATTCCTAACCATACTGGATAATCAATCATCAATCAATGTTAGTTACTATCTATCTATATCTATCTATGATGGCATTTCTATCATCCATGTACATATTGATCATGTTTTGATAGATCATCTATTGCCTTCCTGTACTAGTATACTCAATATAGTCAATGTTCAGCCCTTTGGCCCGATGCCACTTGATATGCAAATCAAGACGCAGTGTATTTACCATAGTATTAAAAGCATTGAAAAACTATTTTTCGTGTATCAATCCCAGTTCATCCCGCCAGAATTGGATATTTCATGACATTTCACGAGCGATGCTGGCCTCATTGACGAGGCAAATTCCTGCTGCAGGGCCCAACAACCAGAGATGGCGCTCTGCAGTGTGCCGGGCCTCGCCAAAAGCACTGGGCGGAAAATCGTGGACAGTTTCGCATCAAAATGTATCAAGCTTCAAATCTTCAAAGTTCGACCCTTGGCAAATTTGAGTTCCTACACATTTGCAACCATCCAGATTGCTTTATGTTTGGTTCAGGTTCCTTCACTTTCAACAAACATCTGCCAAAATGAGTTTGTCTGAAACTAGGATATCCCAAAGTGTCCTTACTATTCACAATCAAAATGGCCACAACTTGGGGAGCAGTTCCCCCTTTGGCATCCAAACCCCAGCTCATCACCATTTGGGATGGCGACATCCCAAATGCTGATGCCTATGAATCCATCCCGATTTCGATGGCAGTGACCTATCAAGCCAAATATCATAATTATAGAATATTATAAAATACTCTAAAATCTATATATCATTTATGTAATATAGTTGGTTAATGTTGGTTATATACATGTTCCATTAATATTCCATTATAAATTATATCCCGATTGTTGTTGTTTAATCATGTTCAATCCCCATCTCCAACACTGTCGCTCTTTGCCGAAGCTCGCCTCATGCGAGGCCGCCCGCAGATCCTGTGCCACCCGCAGCACTGGACGAGCGATGGCCTTGGACCAGGCCATCATTTCTTCGACCTCCTGACGTACCTGGCGTGGCCGGGAAGAAAGTCATTGCACTGGATAACCATTGGCCCAAGTCACCACGGATCACCACGGATCACCCATGCATTGAATAGCGATTGGAGAAGCATGACTTTCAAGAACTTGTAAGAAGCCCCCTGACTTCAAATAATTCTGAAGTAGCTGTGGTCGAAGTGAAGTTCAGCATTTTGTCAGGAACATTGTCAAATTGACCAGAAACCAGAAATGTCTAAAGTCGAAAAGATTCAAAGGGATCTCCTACAAAAAGAAGCACAGTTTTATAGTGTTCATGTGTCCCAAACACAAACGGAAACACCTGGAACTCCAAACCTCCAAACGCTTGCCCGTGGTAATCCAAGCTGGTGACACCTGGTGGCGTTTCCCAGCATCAAAAGCTGCAGCGACCAAGCGGGTGCCAGCATGGCTGGTGGCTTCCTGGAAGAAGCGGAACACAGCAGCGCGGATGTCCTGGGTGTGTGCAAGGTCAGGAAAGCAGCTGGTGTTGCCCCATGGGTATTGCCTTCGAATTCTTCAAGAGCTCAAGATAGTTCAAGCACATTTCATGTGAGGGCTTGACTATGCCATGCTTGACTCCCTCCACGTGAATTTTACAAATGAAGCAGCTCAGCTTTTGGACAACGGCATCCCTCCGGCAGTTTTCACTCGGCAGGGCTTAGCAACACCATGGTGGCGTAGACTGCACACGTGGCCCACGCACCCTGATGTAATCCGGGTCAGTGTCGCCAATCAGATTCCATCTTTCAGCCAACCGGACTATAAGTCTTTCAAGTGCTGGTTTGAGGGTGTACACTTTGGCCATCACTTTGACATCCCAGTTAACATGTCGCTGATGCTCCTTGAGGCAATACAGTCGACGATTGTCGTTGCTGTAGAACCTGCCTCGCCACTCCACTACCTCCAGCTTCAAACTGCAAGGATCGAGTCTGCCCCTGTCCAAATCAGAGATTATGGTTTCCAGAGGCCGACCATCCTGAAAGCAGCGCGAGATGCCGGCCTGTGTGAACTCGATATCCCTGACATTCAATTTGCCATCCGCACTGTCAGTTGGATTGAGCCCATCATGCCCATCGACGTGACTGTTCTCCAACTCATGGCGGTGCTCCAAGATATCGTAAGCCATTTCCGGACTGACCTGCTTGGCCATGGATTCACGGCCCTCCGGCCACAGAACGGCTCGCACAGATGTCGCTTCACCTCCAACATCCACGTGATAGTTGTCTCTGTCTGGCTGCATGACATGCAAATCCTCTCGTTCTTTCACCCATTTCAACTCACCAGTGAGAGGATGAAGTGTAAAGCTCCACAGGGGAGACACTATCAATATATTGCACATCGATTCGGGATCTTTCAAACATCCTTTGATTTTTTTTCTGTGTTTATCACCGCAAAAGTGTGTCGTCAAATTATCTGTCACAGTATACTCAGGGTCGCTCACACTGCCAAGGTCTTGCTTCAAAATGCAATTACAAATTGGACATTCCACCATAGTCGGTTGGCTTGGAATGTCCAACATCTTTGATCTCAAGAGTTGAATGGGTCCATAGAAGTACAACCACCATGTTTCTTTTCTCTTCACTGCTCTTGCCGCCTCCTCCATCGTCCAGGGTGGGCCAACTCTGCACCGCAACCCTGCAGCATCAGCCACTGCTTCAACTTCTTTGCAGTTGTCTACAGCATTGTTCATCAGCTGTAGCAGCAAGGGCTGGCAACCAAAGCTCTGCCTGGCCCTTGCTTGGATTCCACCAACCAGCTCTAATGCTCCGTCCGTTGTAATGCGGTTTTCATCCAAGTTTACCGAGTCCAGGATGCCGTCAGACTTTTCCACTATCCGAAGAAACTCTTCCACGAATGAGTCATCCAAATCGTTCTTGGACAAATCCAGGTCACCTGTCAGTCCTCGGCAGCCCATGTTGAAAAGACCTTCCAGCACTTCGAGGCAGCGCTCTGAGCTTTAGTGTCGCGTCTCATGGGTGCCCGGACTCCACCAAAGGTCGTGCAGTCGAACAACCGCCAGAAATCCTTCGCATTCAGCGGCATCAACCTCCATGAAGATATGTTCTAGAATGGCCTCAGGGTCTGCACCCTTTTTGTCATACCGGGCTGCTCCTATATACAAAATGCCAGAATCAAAAAACGCCTTGATGCCACCTTTGGACTGACCATGGTCTTCGCATTGGGAGACAGGTTGACTATGCTGACTACCTCTGCCTCCTGCAGGAAGGTTTGAGGCCCGAGTGCCATGGCTGTCCTGGTTGCCATGCCTGGTACTGGGCCTGCGGTTCCCACTGCCCTGGCTGCCGCTGCCTTGACCGCCCCGGTTGTGCGCGTGGCTACTGGTCTCCTTGATGGCTTTGGCAATACGAAGTCGCGTAGCCATGTTAGAGCCAGCGATGAAAATATCAGGTTCAGAAGAGATCTGTGCGAAATTCGTCCATCCATTGGTGCCTATCACTTGGAAGATTTCTGCTGGAAGATTGCTTTTTGGGACATCCTCGTACCCTTCAACGTGTGGTCGCTTTTTCGACCACTTTACTGGTACTGACCAAGAAGCTACCCAATATGCAGACACCTGCGTCCATATCAGCTCGCCATTCATGATTCAGGAACAGTTCCACAGGTATCCACGGGTCCGCTGTTCTAGTGCAACTTGAGGGGAAACAGCGGAACGGTTGCGTCCCTGTCAGGCTATCTCAAGGAAACACATCAAGCACTACTTCCTGTTCATACACACTCAACCAGCACTTTATCACCAAAGATGCATTGCAAATATGGCGATTGATTCTGCTGTAAGCCTAAGAATTTACTGAGCACAATGGCAACAGGTTGCTATGATATGAACATAAATCAAATGCAGGCGAGAGGCGTGATCTCCCGTAAGAAGTTGTTCAACCAACGAGCTCGCATGCTCACGCCTCGAAATTTGTTTCTTTCCCTGCTTTCTGGACGATTCAGCATTCATTTCTGCTGGGACCTCATGACTCAATGATCCTCATTTGCATTGGCAGGATGCCCATTCTATATCTGAGCTTCTGCACTGCTAGCATACAAGCCAATCGATGCAATTTATCGAAATGTATTAGCAAAAATGTCCTACAGCGATTTAACGATTTTAAAGGAAACAGAGAGGCATCACATCCCTTGGAACCACTGCTCTCGGTTGCCGACGCCGCCACAGCTTGCGACCCCAGTGCGGCAATGGCAGCGCTACGGACCTTGATCTCTTCATCCTGACAGGGATCAAGAAGGTGAACAAACTGGCAAGTCATAATGAACCAATAATGAAGTGAACTAATCATATATATATCACAATGAACGAAATATGAACTAACAATAAACTAAGAATGAACGAACACTGCCCTAACAATGAACTCATCTGAACTCAGAATGGAGTAGTAACGGACTAATAGTCAGCTAATAAATTGCTAATAACTAACCAAATCAGTAAACTTTCAACACATTCTAAAATTGGAAGAGCTGTTGCTCAATGGATGGAAAATACCAAGGACACCAGCACAGGTCACCTGCAAGGCAGCCACCAAGGCATCTGCACAGCTGCTGAGATCCGTTGATTCTCCAAGTTGTCGAGCAGACCTTGGAAAGGACGACACAAGTTGAAGAGTTGGCTGGGCAGGTGATGGCAGGTGTGTAGTTGCTCTCATTGTTCGTGCTTCCTTAAAATGTGAATGGCTACATGGGTAGATGAGACTCCTCACCTGCCAAACGTTTGTGGAAAGTTACGAAGTTCCCTATGCTTCTGATTAAGCTCTAAAACAGAATTCTATGCTGCAAAAGTGTGGCCGTGCACATGCAAAGATTCAAGGTGGATCAAGCTGGTGGCCACCCAACATCTTTCCGATTTCACTTTCAGCTAAGATGCTTTCCAATAGCAGCCAAACTTCTGGCCGCTTCCTCACGAACTCGAGAATCGCAGTCAGACCTTCGTGGAACAATGGCCATGGTCAAGATCTGCCATTCTCTTTCATAACTGGGCTACAGTACACGGACGACAAACTGGCATGCGTTGAGCTTGAGCATGAGAGAAAGTGTCGTCTGTTCCAAGGTGTAAATGGGATGGCAAGAAGCATCTAAATCCAGGTTGCCACATGGCGTACACAGCAACGATTCCTAAAATCTTTGCTTCATTATACAGCAGATTCTGCCATTGACAGGAGACAGAATGCAGCAACTGCCGGGCTGCCTCAAAGCTCTCTCCAACGCATCTCGAGCTGTTAAATCTCCAAGCATGCCAAGCGAAGCCTAAGTTTCGGCCAGAAAGAAAGCATTGCCTTTTTTGCAAAATATGAATCCATTGCGGATATGTCGCAGGGTCGTGCTGCTATATTATATTTCTGGGCTGGACCGCACTTATCTTTATCATTACCGCTGTTCCCATGTCAAACTGAGCCCGGAAGAAACTCCGCAATCAATCCTTCTACCCAGTAAAAAAAACGTGGAAGAGATCAATCACATAGAACCCCCGAAATAGCTAGGAATGACATTTGTCAGGACAACCCCAACCCGTCCCTGGGGAATACTGACTCCATCTTAATCATCTTAATCCATTGCTCAAGCTGCGCAAACTTCGAGTCTCACCAGCCATACCTCATCGCTGAGACATGATGCCAGAGATCTCACCTGCAGATCGCTCTGAAGGGATGAAGAATTTGCCGAACTGAGCACTCTTAATGTGGCAATACGTGGCATATGAACCATTCCCAATATGACCATAAATGGGTGGTATATGGGTAATATGAACCATCCTCAAATGGTAATTTTATTCTTGGGGTTTACCACATTCACTTTCGACCACTTTAAGGTTTTCCTGGCCATGAGCCCAGATAGCCCAGTAAATTCCTAATGCAAGTCGTTCCAAACTCAATAGCCTGTTGCTCTGAACCCGCAAAGGCCAGTGCTTTCGCTGCATTCCAACGAACCTGCACACGAAGATCACGAAGGGCTTGTCACATCAACTGCCCGATTGAAGTCACATGATGTCACATGTGGCGAAGGGATGAACCAAAATCAACAGGAATCTTCTGGAAACCATGAAATTCATGTCCCTGCTGGGAAATCCTCGATTTGGAGTCCAGGAATTCTCCTTGAGGTGATATCAACTAGATTGAACATGACGGTGGCAATGCCTGCCAAGCATTGTCCGACAAAGCGTCCTCCAGCGCCATGCAGCCTGTGCTGCGATGATCACCAACAAAGCACGTGATAATCAAGTAAATCAATCCTAGGTGGGCACTCACTCTTCTCATTTCGCTTTACAATTCAACCATCATCAACTGCCGGGTCACTTTGGCCACATATGGCACCAGCAGCAGCAAGTCTCCTGAGGTTGTGCCAACTAAGGAACTGCTGGCCCTCCACCTTTGGTGTATGTCTTAAAATTGGATGTACGTACTAAGTTACAGTTGTGGCCATTTAATGAGAAAATGAGAATAATGCAGTGGATTTGGGGATACTAAGATTTTCAGACATACACATGTTTTTAGCTTGTTGATCTTATGAACATAAAAGCAGTGCTACATTACCCTGCTCTTCGTTTCCCACAAAAGCCACCTGAAAACGTTGCTTGCTTTTATCATCCTTTATCCTTTATCATGTTTGCAATAAGTGAGCAATTTTTCCCCCAACACATTGTTTCTTGAAATGAGTTAACATGTCATGTTTGCAGTTGTCAGGTAGGCCTTGCGGCCTTTGCAACCTATGGGCCCTTGCTGTTCCCATGGGTCCCTGTGGGTCCTGATGGCGGAACAAGCCGCACTTCGCACAAATGGAATGCTATCATGGCGCAAAACTGCCTCACAGCATCGGGATTGGCAATCTGCAAGCCAAGAGGGTGGCACATACCTCGAAGCAAATATCCAAACCAGACATGAACAACTAACTTCTGTCCACATTGACATCTAGTTTATATATATTATATATATATATTTGTTCTGTCATATGTATATATATATATGTCCACAGCTGCACATAATTCTGCCTCCAAGGCATTGAGAACCTGGACTGGTCGAGAACCTGGGTTCAATGGGCACATCCAAATTGACACATCACAATCAATTCTTATCAGTTTACCTATATCGAAATTATAGAAATGTATGTGTCTGAAAATACGGTACCCTACTCCTATCTGCGGAGATAAAAACTCTCTATGTTTTTAAAAACACACACACACACATCCGTGTATATATATAATATATAATATATATATATTATATAATTTCCCTCCAGTTTACAACGTCATGGGACAAATTTCCCTCCAGAAATTGGACCCTTGGAAGTCTTGGCTCCCATCTCGATCATCTCAGCAAGGCACCCAAAGTCAGATGCCCAACTGCTTCAGCAGCTGCTTCCCTACACCGATCGTAGGAATGGGTGGGGATTACTTGGAAGATCCTCCCACTTGACTGGTTAGTAGGAGGGGTTACACCCCGGCTGTAGGGATAAGCATGGATAAGCCCAAGCAGGGGACTTATGAAGTATAGGGTTACCAACTAGTTTCTAAGTAGTTTCTAAGTGGCATGATCCTATACCCCACTTTTCCCCATACCCCTAGACGACTTCCCCCCCATAACCAATCATCCGACATCACAGAGCAAATGTCACCTGAGGCGACACACACCAAAACTATGAATTGCCATATACATTATGCGTATATACAGACTGATGAACTATGTAGGTGGCACATATATGTTGGTAGGACCAGTGGCTGCTAAACATCCCTACAAAAAGCGGTGCTAGGAGGGTGGCCGGGGAGGGTGGCAGGGAGGGTGGCGGGGTTCACCAATTATTGGTGCAACTTTGGGTGCGCAAAAATTATCTTTCCTTAAGTTTTTTGATGTGTGACGCCCGCACCAATATTTTGTTTACGTTTTTCATGTGTTTTTTTCAGCCTCCGCATGGTTTGGCTGCCCGTCACTGTGTCTTGAACACTTTCCTTCAGAAATGCAAAATTTGCAACATGGATTTGAAGCAGGAGAATCCGAGCGTCAAGGATATGCTTTGGTCCCGGAGAAGCCGTTGATAATTCTTAATGCAGTCCCAACTTGGACAAAATTAAAGAAAACAACTTTACAGTGACGGGTTTTGATTATGCAATTAAAGATGCTGGCCACAAATCAAACATGTCTGCCCGATTGCTGGTGAAATTTTCTTCGCATCATTGAACCCCAAGTGCAGCAACTTCAGCGTACTCTCTCCTTCTTCAAATTATTCGTGCCAAAACCCGTTTCCGGGAAACGGAGACACACGAAATAGTTTGGGTTCTAGATACTTTTCTCGTCAGTGGAATTGCTTAAAGGGTACAATTAAACTACTATACAAATGCGGCTAAAAAAAAATGGAAATGCAGGCAAGCAACTATAAAGAAAATAAGCTTCGGTGGTATCCCCAACAGCCGCAACGTTTTATTTTTACAAATCTTTCTGAAGCGTGCTGCGAAACCAAGCGCTGGAAACACTTTGAACCTGTTGGAACCTGACCTGGCCCTGCACCAAAGATTCCCCAAACCTTCTCCGGGACCTTCTCTGCAACCTGCTCCGGGACCCGTTGAACCTGACCTGGCTCTGCACCAAAGCCTCCCGGAACCTTCTCCGGAACATTCTCCGGAACCTTGTTGAACCTAACCTGGCTCTGCACCAAAGCCTCCCACACCTTCTCCGGAACCCTGTTGAACCTGACCTGTCTCTGCACCAAATCCTAGACCTTCTCGGGAACCTTCGGAACCTTCTCCGGAACCTCGTTGAACTTGACCCGGTGCCTGCACCAGTGCACCGGAGCTATTCTGGGCTGAAGACCCCGTCAGCTTACGCTGTTGGGGACAAACTGCGGACCTTTGCGCTGATCCATGTTGGACAAAATCTGTGGAAGTTCAAGATACTCGGTCATGGAAAATCGATTGAGAATAAAGAAAATCAGTAAAAACCATCGAATAACCTATAAAACCATATATACATGGAAAACTCCATAAAAAGTTCGAAATCAATGAAAACCATCAAAAAATCAATGAAAACCATCGATTCTTGCTGAAAACCAAGAGAAATCCATGAAAACGATCAAGAAATCGAGAAAAAACAAGGAAAAATCGAGTTTGACATGGAAAATTGGTCCGAGCCAGCTTGACTGCTTCCAAACATTGGAGATCCGCGCTGATCCGCGCTGATCCGCGTTGATCCGCGCTGATCCGCGCTGATCCGCGCTGATCCGTGCTGAACTGCGCTGATCTAGAGCAAGAGTACGCAAGAATTTAGCGCGGATCAGCGCGGCGCACCGCGGATCAGCGCGGATCAGCGCGGATCAGCGCGGATCAGCGTGGATCAGCGCGGATCAGCGCGGACCAGCGCGGGCCAGCACGGATCAGCGCGGATCAGCGTGGATCAGCGCGGACCAGCACGGATCAGCGCGGATCAGCGCGGATCAGCGCGGATCAGCGCGGATCAGCGCGGATCAGCGCGGATCAGCGCGGATCAGCGCGGATCAGCGCGGACCAGCACGGATCAGCGCGGATCAGCACGGATCAGCGTGGATCAGCGCGGACCAGCGCGGACAGCGCGGACCAGCGCGGACCAGCGCGGACCAGCGCGGATCAGCGCGGACCAGCGCGGACCAGCGCGGACCAGCGCTGGCCAGTGCGGATCAGCGCGCAGATCAGCGTGGATCAGCGCGGACCAGCGCGGACCAGCGCAGACCAGCGTGGATCAGCGCGGATCAGCGCGGATCAGCGCGGATTAGCGCGGATCAGCGTGGATCAGCGCGACTCTGCGCGGTCCAGCGCGGCCCAGCGCGGATCAGCGCGGAGCGGATCAGCGATTAATAAGCGCGGATCAGTGCGGATCAGCGCCGATCAGCACGGATCAGCGCGGATCAACACCCATCAGCGGGCATTAGTTCGGAGATCTTCCATAGAAGCCCAGGGCAAGTGAGATGTGAACATGGAATAGCACCAAGCATGGTGAGTATTATTGTGCTATTTTTGAAAAAATTTGTCAAGGAACAAAGTTTTTCCTTGACGCCGATGGGTGCTACATCTCATGCGCCGTCGGCTTGATGTCTTGCTCCTCTTTTCTGCCACCCGTCCTGCCCCTTAAAATACCTCAAATCAATAGCCTTGATGCCCTCCTAATACCCTCTTCAGCCACCTGTCAGGCACCAAAAATCAATAGTTTTCATCCCCCCTCATCCCTGTTCCGCCACCCTTCCTGCACCACAAATCAACAGCCTTAATGTCCTGCCATCCTGTTCCGCCACCCTTCCTGCACCACAAATCAATAGCCTTAATGTCCTGCCACCCTGTTCCGCCACCCTTCCTGCACCACAAATCAATAGCCTTAATGTCCTGCCACCCTGTTCCGCCACCCTTCCTGCACCACAAATCAATAGCCTTAATGTCCTGCCACCCTGTTCCGCCACCCTTCCTGCACCACAAATCAGTAGCCTTAATGTCCTGCCACCCTGTTCCGCCACCCTTCCTGCACCACAAATCATAGGTTTTGGTATCGGTTTGCTCTTCCGGATGCTTAGCAGGCAGTGGGTCTCTCAACATATATGTGCTATATTATGTTATTATCTATCTATATAGTATCTATATAATAGTCCATAGATATTTACAGACTACAGACATAATATGGTTTCATCATGTTTCATCTCCAATTCATCCCCACCTCCGACGCCATCCCCCACCCTCCATGCACACCTGACGAAGGGACTCACATCACCCAGGGCTGCCAGCAGCTCGTCGATCTTTGAGGCGGCACCAAGGGCGCCTAAGGCCTTCAAGGATTTGGATTTGGACTTGGGGAGAGATTTTCCCAGAAAACCACAGAGGGCCATCAACTTTTTATACATGTTTGGGGTGATCAGTTTGAATTAGGCCAAATGCAGGATGTAAAAAGCATACATTTTAGGTGGTTCATGATGTTATTCCTAGTAGTTGATGGGGAAAACATGTACCAGATGCCAAACTTGGAAACCCAAACCGTCAAATGTGGCAGTGAACTGCTAATGACCAGTCCATCGGTTGCCCCTTGTCTCACTTGGGTCTGGTCATGTGCACCTGTAGCCGACTGTAACATGAATAGAAAAGGGAAAGACTCCTGAAGACGGATCTTGGGTTTCAACATGTTTCAACTGTTTTTGGTATGTGTATATGAATCGTTTATCAACGCACTATCAAGGAATGTGAGATAAAAAGGAGATGGGAGCTGGGAGATTGACAAATATTCTCGGTCGATTTCTACCATCAGTACTACGCATAGATTGGGATGGGTTCAAGTGAGAGGACAAGAACAAGAATGTTAAAATATGTTAAACGCCTTCCAGCAGTGACCCTACAATCAACTTCGTCTTTAATGAGAAATAATTAGAATCAATTAGAAACATCAAATCTCAATTCCTCAATCATCCTCTCTACAAGATGGCTCAGAAATCTCCATACTCCATGTATCGGTGGATGAGCCACTACGACTCAGTAGTGTCTCTGTGGAGCACCTTGGCAGCAGTTCTTCGCACTTGCCAATCGGAATCTCTGCGCAACGCATCTGCTAGAAAGGCAGCCGATGAGCCTAGCAGCTTAGCAGGTCTCAAAATGCCGGGTGTGACGGCTGTCAGGTGACATCCCAGAGATTCCCCGAGATCATGGGACTATATGGGACCCAAATCCGCCTTGCTTCGCCGTATTCAGGAGCCTCGCAGCATCTAAACGTTCGCCTGGCGCTCTGGCTGTCACTTGTTCTGGGTGATGTTGTTCCAGGCCGACTAGGCATCCGCAAGCTGAATTGCTTAGTTTGAAAAAAGAAGAGACGGTTGTTGGAGAAGCAAACTATTGTCTCGTGCACGGTTGATCAAAATCCACAGTTGAGTTCCGACACTTTCCAATACAACTTCCAATCCTTACACTGAAGAACATAGAAAAACAACACATTTGTACTAGAATATAGAATATAGGACATAGAATGACTCTGATATGCCTATGTATAATCATACATATTACCGGTATATTACACTACTATTACTATAGTCTATATACTATATAGTATTACAAAATATACAAAATCATATTATGGATATCTTGTATACCAACCTAAGAGCTGACTGCTTGCGCCTGAGTTGCTGGGACTCTGAAGGTTCCGCAGGAGCACCTCAGCGTGGAGCTGGATGTGACCAATGGAGTTTCTGCATCACCAATAATACTGGAGAATAGTATACAGTATATGTAGTGATACATATTATAATCTGCATCCATATATACTATAAACACATATTAAAAAAAAGGTAAAACTATAGAGAATACTTGTTAGCATCACTCAAACATTCTTTCTAAACGTTCTATCCTGTCGAAACACTCGCAGTTGGAATTGGATGTGAGTGGCAGCAAAGATGCCCAATCAACAACCAGTCTTGTTTCTTCCGTTCCCGTAAATGGTTGGATGATTTATTTGGATGATTTGAGTATACTTGAGTGGCTGGACCTTCGTTGTGGGTTGAATATGGTTGAATGGTTGAAACTTGCCAAACTTGGAACCACACATTCAAGCGAAATCCAGCGGATGGAGCCAAGGCCATGCTTCAGCATGGCGCAGCACAAGTAAGTCGCTGGTGTGACTTGGCGATTGTTCATCTGAAAATAGTGCCAAACTATGCCAAAAACCTGGCTATCCTATGCTATCATATCCGAAAAAAAATCCGACATGCTAAACTCGTCCAATTCCCAAGCTGAATATGAAGATCTTCATGGAATCCAGGGTGAAATATTCATGAACATTCAAACTGCTTCAAATCTCAACTCAAGATCCTCTTGTTTGAAGCACTTTGATGCTGAGGAGACTGGCGCCCAGGACTTGTGGTCAGGCGCAAAATGCTGGATGCTGGGTCACTGGGGGCTTGCTATCTTGCCCCGTGAACGTGTGCAGCCTGTGACAAATCATGCCATGGAACCCATCTGGCAGCGCTCAAGGGCAAGAGGTCATCAATCGAGGTGCCAGTCGTTCAAGTGCTGCAGAGTCAAGTCACTGAACGTCCGGCTTTGCGGACAAAAGGTCCAAGCTTCTAGCGGCACAATGTCAAAACGTGTCAAAACTTCACTGCACAAACAGCTCGTCTAGCCTGTCCTGCGGTAGGGGCACCGACCGAACGAAGGATGCTCTGAGTGAGGAAGCAAAGGTCAATTTATCCACGGTGAGAGCCGGCTTGTCCAGAGACTGTATCCATGACGTAATATGTGTGTTCTTACCGAGGCCTGTTGTTGAAAACTTGTGTCTTTGAGTTTCTTTGCTTGAGCAGTTGTGAGCTCAACATCCTTGTATATTCTTGTGCTGCATTTCGGTGCACCCATGTGTATATTTGAGCAAAGCTCCAGCAACATCAGCTTGCACATGTTGGAACAGCGCTACAAGTTCGACACTACAATTCCATTGCCTTCAATTTCCTCCAAGATCTTCAACTTCTGTTTCTGCATGTCGCTCCCCAATTTGCGGACCCCAATAATTTGGGCAAACAATTGGGTCTCTGAGTCTCAAAGTCTTGCACACACTCACACATGTTGCAAATCCAAGCACTCCATGCTTTTTACGCCTTCAGCCAACACTCGACGGGGGCAAAATTTGCTGCATTGAGCTGCCAAGGATTGATCTCAACAGAGGATTCCTGCAGTTCACAGTGCTGCGTCCTTGCTAGAGCTTGATAGCTGTTTGCCAAAAGGTAGAGGCTCACATGACAAAATAGAAAACATATAAAGACATATAAAGACTACAATGAATATTAAAAAAAATAGAGATATCACGGCAGCTGAAGCAACTGCTGTAAGATTCCTCCGCATTTTAAGAGATTCAAGAGTTGCTGGCAGAAGATTTGTCACCCAGGTGACCCAAAAGGGTACTCAGGCGGGCTGAAAAATCCTTGATCTGAAAACTGTTAGCGTGAAGAGCATTGAAGAGCCGGCCCAGTGACAAGCTCAGGGTTTGTAGTACTTGGTTGGGACAAATGGCATCTTCACAACCTCAACACATTCGGAAAAAAAACCGGCCAGCCAAGAATCTGGTGATCCACCAAAGTAAAGCAGATTGAAATAGGTCACTGCTCCCTTCCCATTGTTCTTACAAACTAGACATGGTCAGTTTACCACTCAATTTGTTTGAGGACAAGAAACCGTCTGCAATGTTGGACACAAAATCTAGAAAGAAATATCATGAATCCTGAAGCCTGAACCGATAGTTCTTGATGATCTGTGCGGCTCTATTCCTCAACTCCTCAACCCAAGACTATTTATATCATAATTTGCCTATTGGAATGGGGAGACCTCTTTATGAAGCAACCAACCAGTGGGAAAAGGACATCTATGCCTCATGTTTTTTTGACTGAGAGACCCAGACTTTGGCTGGATATCGCTTGCCACGGACCACGACTTGCAGGTCTGTGCCCTGCTTGTTGTGGGGTTTGTTGATGTAACCTGGCCATGAGACACCGACCAAGCTCCAAAAACAGGCCGAATTGATCCTTGGGCAAACCTCCTTTAGGATGTGTTTTGAAAGAAACCTCCAGTTGCAGTAGATTCTTGAAGCTTCCTGGGAATCTTCAGCAAACCTTGCAACTGTTTGTTTGGAGGGAAAATTTTCAAGATCCAGATCCAATTTGAATATGGCGGCCTTGTCTAATACACACACACACATACACATACGATCCTTCTCCATTTGGAGGGGCAACAATTGATGTTGGAAAATATCCCTGATTGTTGCTTGTACAGCCATAGTGTCATCTGCTGTCATTATTACATCGCAGCTGGTTATTTCTAATTTACAATGTGTTATAGATACCATCTGGGTTTGTTTGACAATAGGCTACACCCAATTTTCATGCTTCATGAATTTCATCAGAAGTTTTGGCAGTTTCCCGACATTTCCTGACTATTTGATGGCATCAACTGGGGGGTTCTACCTGTATTTTGCCGCAAGAAAACCAAGCAAACACACCGAAGCAAGGCCCGAGCCGATGGAGATGTTCTTCTTCAAGCAAGGTGACATGCTTCCGCTGGTCACCTCACCAGGGACGACTGGGCCTTTGATTTCGATGGGGCAAACTTGAATTTCACAAGCCATTTGAATATATATATATATATATTATAGTATATATATATATTGTATTGTATTATATTATATTGTATTATATTATGTTGTATTATATTATACTATATTGTATTATATTATATTATATTATATCATATTATATTATATCATATTATATTATTTTATTTTATGTATTATAGGATATTTTAAATATTAAAGTATATTATATTATATTATAATATATTATATGATATTATATGATATTATATTATATTATATATTATCCTTTATCATATATTATATTATATTATATATTGTATTGTATTATATATTCTATTATATATTATATTATATATTATATTATATTATATATTATATTATATATTATATTATATATTATATTATATTATATATTATATTATATATTATATTATTTATTATATTATATGTTATATTATATTATATTGTATTATATTATATTATATATTAAATAATATTTTATATCAAATTATATTATATATTATATTATATATTAGAGGATATTTTAGAGGATATTATATATAGAGAGCATAGCAGTAATAATATTCGATAAGAAACATAAAACTAAAGATAAACATACTCACAATATCTCACAATAAGAATCAGAATGCATGCGCCCGGATTTGCTGAACACCTACCCAATGTTCTTGGCATGAGGAAACCCACTTAGATTGTGAACGACGCTATGGATCCTGCCATTTCGTCATTATCTCCAGTGGAGTGCTACACTTGATCTTTGGACTAATTAATGTCAACAAGGCTAGGGGAATGTCCTGTTAATGGATCTTAATGAAATAGGTGTAGCATGGTGTAGCTTGAAGTCAGTAGGTTGTCAGTAGTATCAGCTGGGGCCCGCACGGTTCCGACCACCTGACCATCTAAGGTCTCGATATCAGCACCTTCTCTGGCTGGAGGGCCAGAGGCTGGCATCAGGCCAGCACGTAGCCTGATGCAAGATGGGACCCCTGCTAGTTGTACATGGCATACATGTTACATGTTTGTAAATAATACATTATAATACTAGATAATTCTATATTCTGCATGATTCTATGTTACATGATATACTTGCATGTTTACATACAATATATACATAATAAATGTATATATTATAAATAATATATATATATATCGTATATCAATCATGTTGTGTGTAGACAGAATTACAACTTGTATTCCAATGTCTTGAACTGGAGTCAATCCAGTCAACCCCATCTATGAGTAGTCAATGCACGTAATTACTGTTTATATCTTGTAGGGGTCCTAGGGGGCCATCATTGCAGCTAGTGGCTGCCATGTTTCATCCAATCGCACCTCTTGTATCGCGACTTGTCAGCCAGTTGGGCAAGAATCTCCTCACCTACAACGCTGGAGATTTTGCCGCAAAGCTGTGGGAATCCAAGGTGAATTCCATCCCACTTTCCTGCTGCTGACTTATTAAGTTCCCGGCTTCCAATGAATTTGTTCTTAGCACCCTCTCGTCTTGCCTTTGGCACTACCCAGCCTCAGAGTGTCTCACTGTAGTCAATGATGTTGTATGATGTTGCATGAAAAGGTTCTATTTGGAAACGAAGCTAGCATCTTCAAACAACAAAATCACAGCACCCTCAAATGGGGCTCAAAGCATGAACCCCTGAAATTCCTGTCGTGCATGTACTATGCCATGCTGACTTTGGGTCGTTGGAGTCGGCCAGAAAAGCCGAATCGACACAAGTTGTGCTCCCTTCAGCTGCGAATTGGAACCATTGTTCTTGGATGTTGAGGAAATCCCCATTAAAAATGATGATTTTCCCATTACACCATTGTGTCAGAGGATATCCCAGCCTATTCCATCTGAAAGTAGCGGTTTGTTTGGGATCCCCACTAAGACCAGCCTCCGAGGGAGTGGTGTCCTGCATACATTTGGCAGTCCAGAAGCAGGGTAGACTGTCCATGGCCATTGGACCGCTCTTTGAGAACAAGGAAGATGAAGGAACGAATGAAAGGGCGAATTTTGGTGGGTGGAAGAATACCATGCTTTCAGCAAACAGGTAATTTGGCGATGCTATCTTGACGCAGTTCATTTTTCATTAATTCAAACTTGTAATTTTATCAACAAGATATATAAGTGGGTTCTATTGGTGCACAAGCAAACAGCCAACAAATCACCAATTGACCATGATTGGGTCATCTAAATCATCTCTAGACCTACAGTAAAATCACTGCAACTTGGACACTTGGAATCGTCGTGATCACCAAGAATTCCCACGACACCACAACCCTCGTGCCCAAAGTACAGAAAAAAGTTGGAGTCCTCATCGAGCTCGTGACCTTGACATCGTTCGGTTGCGCACATGTGTTTTTTCTTTGTTTCCGTTGAATTTATGTAAATAGAATGTAAACAAGTCACTAACTACTGCATACTTATTTGCTCTGATTATCTTATTTGGTAGTCATGTCTTCAGTATGTACTGATTCAGGCTGATGCCACACATAAGGCAAATCATGGACCTCCTTCTCATGTAGTGATATGCAGTGTCATTTTTACTTACTCAAAATCTGCAGAAGGGACTGACCAAACTGAGCACTTCATGCTTCACCCTCATCACAACTTGTTCCACATGCATTCAGCAGTGAGAGACATGATCTGAATATCTGAATAACCACAAAACACCTTGGAATACCTCCTTTTTCCATCTTTTTCCCTAGCAGTCTAGTAGTGCCTCAGGCATTTGGATGAGGACCCTCCATGGAGAACATCGGTCAAGTCCTTTGAAATTCGTGCCTTCCTCCAACCACGACAAACCATAAGAAACCAACGGCGCAAATTTGTTCATGTCTTCTCGGCTTTCACAGATGGTTCAGGAATGTTCAAAAATACATCTAACCTTCTCTGAGCATATTCTGATGTCTTTACCATGCATGATCCTCATGTCTCCGACAAGTGACCGGAATGACGCGAGACCATTAAGGTTTCGGCCATACAAGCAAAGCCCGGCTTCCAGGCGCAGGGAATCTCGGGCCCCCAGCCTGCAGGCAAAGGAAAAAACCAAGGAACTGAACATCGAAGCGCTATGAACCGCTCTTCAAACAATATCTTTTCGGGATTATCTGAGGAATTGATAGGAATTGCAGTAATTAGATGTAATTAGTAGAGGTATATGATTTCGGGATCGTGATACCCTTCGCTGCTTGAGAGTACAAATGGTATTTCCCAGAAAATGTTCCTCAAGTCTATGACTTTGCAATTGCATTCACAAGAACAGCACTCCTACGTGCGGTGCTGAAAGCAACACGTACCTTTTTTCAAGCTGATAGATAGCAGTTCCTTCTTCCCAACCAAAGCCTCCACTCAAAAAGTGGTAATGTAGCACTTTGACCCACCACCAAGTTGCACCCTCCGATTTCCGTAGGTTCGTAATGGTTCGTAAATCCAACACAATCTAATCATAAACCGTATTGCAAGTGGCAATTGGCCATCTTGATGGGTCTCTTTGCAGCTCAACACCACCAATAGAGTCAAAACTATTGAACCCCAAAATTGGATGGCGCAATACAAAAAAGGATAAAAAGGGTCCATTGCCATCCCCCAGGATATACCCCATTGCCTCCGAAAATGATGATGTGATGAACCATCAAATTGTTGGGGATACTGAGATACCCCATTTTCAAGACAAACCCATTTGGGGGTGGATCATGACCTATCATGACCTCTACATGGAGATCATTTACGAGCTACAAGTATGGGGTTCACCACGCTTCACTGGTTCACCGTTCGCCCCCTGGGCCCCACGCCCTGCGAGTCGCACTTCTGCTTGGGAAGACAACAGCTGCCACACGGGCACCGCGGCTGAACCTGGGACAAAGACCTGCGGAGCGACGCCAAAAAATCTGGAGTGCAATGCTGTACTATCCAATTCTGTTCATTGAATATGTTTGAGAATGTTTGAGATGTTTTAAGTGGCCAGGTTGTTTGGGAACCACCTAAAACAAATTCGTGACATGGACCAGTTGGGGAACCAACCAGTTAAGGAACTACCGGCATGAAATGGATCGAAATGGGACAAACAGTCTACAGTATAATACTGGCTACATTTGTCTACAAGTCTGGTTTTTAGGGAGGATACTCATCTTTCTATGCCACGCAGAAAACTCTCTTACAGTCTTGCAAACTCCTGCATAAAAGTGCCGTGAAGAGAATTTTTGGAAGAGCCTATTGAATCTATATTGCATATTGTGGCATTTGTTTTCAAGAAAATGACCAAAATGGTTGTTTGAAAAACGTTGCCTAAGTCCGTCTGGAGGGCCTCAAAGCCGTCTTCGCCGGTGTAGCCACACCTGACTGGAGCACGCCCTGTTGGAAGGGAAGTCATCAAATCTATTTAGCATCAGCTGCTACTTTCCAATACATATGGACGAGAAACTCAAACATCAAATCAATCCACTTCATCAATAATTGCGAAACTACAGTCGCTAAAATGAAAGAAACTATCCACTAATTATCACTCATTTATCCTTACCAAAGTGGTCTTCATCAATTTTACCATGAATCAGTACCCATACCGCTGCAAGGCCGCCAAGGCACCGAGAGACCAAGCACTCGGCGCCTGAGGCACCCAGTGATGGTTTGGGGGTTAACCGAAAATATATGAAAGCCATTGGGGATCATCATCCCAAATATGGTCGAACAAAATAATAATACAGTAGATAATAATTAATAATTAATAATAGATATCTGAACCATTCTAAAACCATCAACCATCATCAAATACACAATGATCAGAATGGTGGTAATGATAGTATCACTAATGATAATGATGTACACCCAAGGGATGTGACGGGTTATGATACCAAAAGTTGGTTAATCATAATGGTATATAGTGGTTATTTGCAAGATTCTACTATGGTCATTATACTAGGTAGGCTTTCCACCCCCTACGATACCCAACCAACAAGCGAATCTGGAGTTGGGCTTGGCTGGTCCACCAAGCCCTCCGGTGCCTTCCAAAGTCATCCAAAGGCATTGGCCAAATGGCACTGACTTCAGATCTGTGGATGGACTAAGGCGTTGAAGGACCTTCAAGGTGCCAAGGCAGCATGTGTTTCGATCACATCTGGTTTACGCCAAGAACGGTGTGAAGGACAATGTGCGAATCCTTCTTATCCTTCACCAGTTCAACACTGCCCACGTCCATGCCTCTGCTGCTTTGGGACCCTGGATGGCAAAGAGCCCTCGGTTGTCCCACATGACCTGCACCAAAGAGGTACAATTAGTCAAAGTATTTCATTGGACTGTTGTGATGCCAACACCATGGATCGCTCAAAAACAAGTTGTACATAAAACATCATTAAACTATTGGCAGAGCATGGCAGAGCCATCGTCTGGCAATATGCACAAAACTCGTTGGATGTACTGTTTTTACATGTTTTACTCGGTCGTGGGTTTTGTCCCCATCAATTCGAAGCTACAAGACTTCGCACGTGCACCCGCACACAAACAGCGGCATGGTCTGCGGGGCCTCCATTTTGACATCGCCACCGAATTTTCCCAACTGTTCATCAAAGTGCTTCAAGTCTTTCGGTGCACAACCTGCGTTCACCACCTGATGGCACCAGCGGCGTCAATCCCAAAGCCAGCATACTTATACATCTGGCATGCAGTGGGAACAATACTCTATAGCTGGAAGCTTGGACAGCTTAAGAAGAGCTAAAGTTAAAATACAAATTTCAGAAGGCACTTGTGAAGCAGCATCTGAAGTGGTTTCATGCAAAATAAATCCAAGTCTGTCCTCATGAATAACAAAGTCCCTCACGTCTTACTTGAGTGAACAAATCCAAGAACACAGCGGTGACTGCCACCACCAACCACAGTCACATCGACAAGCAGCAGGACTAGCAGCAGGAACAGCGGCAACATCAATGAAAAAACAGGTTCTTCCTCAAAATGGAACTGGCTGGCGATAAAAAGCGTAGCAGAATCAAATGCTGCCTGGTAGACATGCTCCCCATGCTCCTTCGAGTTGCATTTTGTTACCTCAAGGCTGTGCTGAAGTATCAGCACAACACATGGCCAGCCATGGCTCACATCGGCATATTTTTCTGGGTACCGGACCAGGGTGTCATCGATGACACCCCCTCGTTCATTGGTGATCACACTCAGAGACCCCGTCATTGGAGGAAGTCCTAGTGGCTCGAGAACAAGTTGACTGATTGGAAACCAGCTGTTGATCTAACAACGAGCAAGAAATGTGTGGACATATCAAGGACTATCCCCACACGATAGCATATGCAATGGACTCTGGAGCCCGAAATCGCACTTGTCTGATCAATAGGTAGTCTGCAAACCTTTGACGGACCCTAAGTAGTTGAAGCCCCACCACCCTGTCCGTAGACATCAGCGGTCGTCACCCGCTCAACAAAGTCGAATGCATCTTTTCCAGTCCACCTGCAAATCAGCATCCGTTTGCAGGCCAGCGGTCCGACAGGAGATCCTTTGAGGAACGTGGTTTGCTGGTCGACTAATGATCTAGAGAGGCCTGGAACCAGTTTGTTTGAAATACAAGGAACGGATTTCCAATCATGACAAGAAGAAACATGAAGAAACTATAGTTGAGGTCGGAATGCTTCTGATTCCGAAATTGCCAATCAGTGGGGTTTGGGACATATTGGGACATTCATGTCTTTTTGGGTCTTTGATCCGGTACATGACAAGAAATTTGCAGCTGATATGACTGTACAACCCTGCACATCCCCGAAATCAACAGAATATCCGGTGACATCGGTGACATCGGTGACTGCGTGAAACTGACGTCCAGAATAACGAATGGTCCAAGTTCACTTCTCGAAGTCTTGTGCAAAGATTGGGAAGATAAATACAACATCTCATGTTCCTCCCCATCAGGAGTGACGTTCAATCCTTAATTTGTGGCTGGTCCACTGCTGAGCAGAATTTGGAGGGATGCCTATTTTTCTTGCAGGGTTAGCATGGGTCACCGTGTACTTTGGTCACTTTCATCATACCCTTCTCAACTGCTTCCAACTGCGATGTCAGAATCTGTTCCATTGATTTGAGGCAGCATAGACAGAAAGAGATATATGCTCAAGCTGTCCAAAATGCTAGCCTCACAGCAACATACACGGACCAAGCATTGTCAAGACACTCCTTTTTTTGCCAACTTTGCTGAAAACTTCGGTCAAAGATTCCCTAAGAGGGACAAACCCCGAGATGCACAGCATCAAACATGTTGGGCCAAAAGTTTCATGGATCCCACACAAGTTCACGCGCAGAAATCCAGATTCAGAAGCACAACTATGCCCACTACAGAGCGTCCATCTCCCCATGGAGGACTCTGTAAATACCCCGAAAATTTCAAGATGTCGAAGCATTGCCGAACACATCACTGGTGGAAACTGCTTGCATAGCAGGCTTCATGCCACTATGGAACACCTTCCAGGCCAGTTCCAAATGTTCCAATGACAAGCTGCATGGGCTTAAGCAAAAATGGTGCCATCAAAGTCCGAAAGTCTTACAACCATCTCTCTGATTTCAATGCCAAGTCCAATTCAGCCTCAAATCATTGCGCCTTTCTCACAAGCAGTGCTTAGTAGACGACATGCCAACATTGTCATATGTAATACCTCTTGACACCTGTTCAGATCGGTGCCCTCGAATCGCCGTACCCCGCGATTCAGGGAACATCCAGTAAAGTTGCTTATATCCCCAAGCCAGAAAAACTGGCAATCCCATCCTATCCCTCTTAAGTCTGCTCTTCATAGCTATGGCTTGCTGTGGCAATGGGTCAAAAATCACCTCAAAAGTGGAATATCCCAGGTGACCCTGGCACCTGTGCGTCCTGGGACAGCACTGCATGGAGCGCTTCGCGTTGCCGCATGGCTTCCTCTGAGCGTTCTTCGGCGGCGTGCCAGCACTCAGCGAAGGAGCTCCTGTAAACATAATGAACTGGGAACGGTGGCTGTGGCTCAAACCCGGAGATATATCACCAAGAAACCGCGTTGATGCACGGAACTGTACACCCAAGTGGTTGGTGAATAGGGATTCTCAAGTCATGGATGATAAAATGTCCATCGCAAGGTAACATTCTTGCCTGAGAATCAGAAGGATTGCAAGCATTTGTTTGTAGCCGGTACGTCAAATCCCATAAATTCCTAACAGGACCAACTAAGCAGATTTTTGGCCACTGCTGATGTTGAGTTATGGCCGTGAATCAATGGGAGGGCCCCTCCATAGAAAAAAAACACGCAAGGAAGGACAGGGAAGGAAATGAAAAGACTAGAAAGGATATTTGTGAGTCCAAATGAAAGCGTGGACAGAGGCCGAAACACCTTAATGCAAACATAGACAAATAGAAGGGAAGAAGTCGGAAACATGTTGCATCCTGGCGAGATGGACCCAACCATCAAATTTGTTTAGTCAACGTGTTTCGGAAAGCTGTGCTGTTGTATACTGTTTGATTTTGAACAATGGCCTTCAATCTGGAGCTTACCTTGGAGCTCATCCAATGTCCTTTCCACGTTGAGACCATAGGTTTGGTTCATTTATGATCCTCCTCAACTATTGTTCTAGGTATTCGCCTGGTTTTCAGAATGGTTTTGTGCTTCACTGCAGGGAACATCTAATCAATTGCAGTACATGTACCCTTTCTGTGTAATTAATGGTGTTCAGACTTGTTCAAGTTAACACGCAAATGACAGCAAATGTAAGATCGACGCGCCACCTGATCGAAAACAGGATGCGTGTGAATATTCAGACGTTTCATGTTTGCGCCTCATCACCTCGCCCGTCTTGTTCATCATCTCCTTCAAGCTCCAAAATTCCAGTTCGATACATTGCTACAAAATTGTTCAAAGACAACTCACAGATTGCCATAATTGTCATACTTGTCACAAGCAACAGCTTTCTGCAAGCTGCCAGGGAACCAATCCAATATTGCCAAGCTTGCAAGTTTCTCTTCCCAAGTTTCGTTCCTGCATACTGGTGGATTCATAGGAATTTCCCTGGTGTCTCCTCCAGCAGCAGCTGAAAATGTTCCATGGCATCCGCCACGCGCTGCTGAGGAGACGCAGCGCTGTGCCGCAGGTCTACGCGTGGGATGGAATCTGTGACACTCTGCTTCCGTCGTTTTACCTGGAAAGGGAAAGGTCGGAAAGGTCGGAAGGGTCGCTAGAATGCCGGGAAAGTCTGGGGATGTTTTGGGCGTCGCTGGTCGTATCATTCAAATCACTCAGAGGCTGAAGAGGCAGGGCCCAATAGAGTTCATGACGCTCGGAACCAAAGGAACAAAAACATGTGAAGACAAAGCTACAGTAGCTGAAGACCCACTGGCTGATTTAAAAAAACACAGGTAGAATACTACCGATTCATCATGATTCATCCATCTTGAAGCCAACAAACAAAGACAACGAAACATATCGAAACATCAATTATTGAGAGCCAACAATCAGCTGTTGAAAACTGTTGAGAGTTGAGACCTATATCATCCACCAAAGTCACGGAGCCGGTCCCGGAATAGTTGTGTTTGGCGTCGTAAAGGTGGGTGGATAGCTCTCTTTTGACCTCAGAATTGGGCAGGTGAGCTCAAAGCCAGAAACCCTTAATGCTTACTGTCACGACTTGGGAAAATCTGGGATATTGCAGGTTTTGTTTTGACAGGGAATCAAACAAAACCAACCAAATAGATCATTGATAGTATTTACTGCTGAGCTTTTAATATCGTTTAATCCTCTTGTTTTTGGGGTCCTCAAATAAAAGAAACACCCGTGAGTTTTGGTGTGGACATTGCTCCAAAGTTGAAGCCAACTCCCAACCTAGGGGAATTTCGAAATGAATCTTCTGTGCAGCTAGGAGCAAGAGGGATTCATTCTAGCCACTCAGATGATTGGTGTGAGTATTATCTGCGCGCTTCTGGCGACACCGTGTAACCCACCAAAAATATCCAAAAGTGAGGAAATTGAAAGATGTTGGGGTCCTGATCAGAAACGCCCAACTAAGCTCCGTACTTCGGCTTGAACCTCTTCCGCATAGCCTGCGCGTTTCTCCAGCAGGAACGCGTCCAGGTTGCCAACAACGGCCGTCCTCAAAAAGGAGGCAGTTGCGAAGTTCAAGAAAGCCGCATGTCAAACTGCATGACAAGTTTGCACTTCAATGGATGTCCGATGTTGAATTAAATTGACTGATCAACTTCAAGTTTTCCCATACATCTTGGCTGATCATCGAAGGGTTGCAATTGCCGAAGCGCAAGCCAAGCATCAAACGATGGCCTATACCTGCGACACACCAAGTGCATCATGTGCATTATGTGCACTACAGATGCTTGAACCATAGCTCACTTGATTCAAGTATACGTTTGACAGGCACAATCTCCAACAAAGTCGGCCAAAGCCATCCAATCCCCAGGGGCCCCCCAGGCACCTTGCACAGCCAGTGGACCCAGCTGACGCACATGTTCACACAGCTCTGGCCATGGTGCCAAACGACCGGCAAAGGCTTCGACGAAATGCCGGGCTTCTTTCTGTGAGAATGTCCTCCAAATGATATGGGACTAGGTCTTTGACGACAATTAGTGACTATAGGATGATGCTCCTGAGAACTAAATTTTCCTCAAAAATTGGGACAGTGGGCAGGTGAGAACCCAGGATACCAATGTTCAGATTCATTCCGAACTCACGACAGCGCAGAGAATTGACAAGACATATACTGTATGTGTGATTATGTGTCAGAGTGCTGAGTTGAAACTTGCTGAGGTGACTCAAACAACTGGCATCTCAATATCCTTTACATTGAGCATTATGTCCTGAAATTCGCTGCCTTCTTCGGCATGATGTTGAAGACATCCCAATGCTGGTCAATCCCGCTCACCACAGGTTCGCTCACTTCCTTCAGAGGGAACACAAACACAAGAAAAACACAAGCATTGAATAGAATTGACTTGTTTTTTGGAAGACAAACGTCACACACAAAACATCATTGTCCCCTAGTTTGTTGACAAAAAACCCGACTGATCAACACAAAACAATTGAACGGAAGACTTCAATGGATGAAGTAAAGAAATTTAGTGAATTCACGTGAATTCTTATAATTCTTTGGAATTGATTGTGTTGAAGTACACTGGTCGAATGCTTGGCGGGGCCAAAAAATCATTCAAGTTAAAATGCTCTATAAATTACTGATATGTTTGATTTCACGCACCAACACCCTATGGGGTTGCTAGGGGTCCCATGGAAAGGCCGCGACTAGAAGAATTGCAAGTTTGCTTTGCCAGATGTTGGGTTGTTCAAAACTCAGGATTACATCAGGGTCGAAAACTCAGTTGAATCTACCGATCGCATGAGTTTCGCTCTTGGGTTTTTCTGCTCTGAGTCAAAATTGGGCTGCCAGGACCAGTTTACACAGGAAATCACAGGAAACCAAGCAGACTGACACACGCCGTCCCAAAACAGCAAGGCAGCAACCGCCTGTCCTGCGGGATGTCCATGCCAGCCCATTGGCCATCACGCACTATCAGGGCTTTGTGCCTCGCCCAATGGCCGTGGTAACCCACACCGTAGTGATGCGCCTTGCTGCCCAAACGGCTTTGGCTTTCCTGCCAGGCGACGGAGCCCATGCAAGATGTAAGCCTGTTTTAATGGGATGCAACGTTCGATTAGAGTTCCATCACTCCCAGCCAATGAGCCCCCAAAATGGATGAATATGGATGAATATGGATGAATATGGATGAATGAAAATTCCAGCCTAATCTGCTCAGTTTGGAGATGTGAAGACTCAAAATACTCAAACACTCTTTGGCCCATACCAAAACAAGTACATAACCATTGCCTGAAAACAATCATTTTAAGAAATCGCGACCCTCATTGCCTGGATGCCAGTCTTCGCTGCGTTTTTCAAATCGTTGCTTTTTGACTGCAGTTCGTCGTGCAATTTCTGGGCATGGCCTGCTGGACTTGGCAATGGGGCAATGGCTCTCGCAAGGACTGGCAACTAGAGATTCCTTGGTTTGGTCTGAACAGATTTTGATATCAATAGGCTACAAACACAACCCAAATGAGACTACAGATCAATTTTTTTGACGTCGATATTCTGTGAAATGCCTGGATTTTCTCACAAAATTTCTGACCCCGGCTGCCTTTCAGCCTCGGCGTGAAGTCTCTCAGCAGCTCTTCAAACAAGGTGTAGATCTGGGGCCCATTGTACTGTGCCACTTGCAAAGGTTGCGTCTGTGCCTGCATGGTTCGCAATTGCCATTCGAACGTCTCCAGGAGTTCTTGTTGCGCCTGGCAACTTCAAGGATTTGATAGAGGTGTTTTGAAACATGTAGCGCCACCGATAATGGCTGTTTCAACTGTCAACACCTTCTTATTGGGGGATTGTCCAGAAGGAGGTTGGTGATTCCCTTTGACTTGGCGGAGAAAAACTGTGGCATAAGATGGCGAAAGTTGTCCGGTAGAACCTCAAGGGCTGTAACACTGTAAAAGGTACAAAAAGGTTGGGATGAGAAAACAGCAGGCAATTGGTAGTGGTTTTTTTCGGCGCGCCATCATGAACCCCAAATCTTTCAAGCTACGTATGGATGGCCTTGATCTTGCGGGACTTCATTGAGTCGACGATGTGCTTGCGCACTGCTGGGATCTGCGTGGCCTCTTCTGTCAAGAACGCAGCGGGAACTCCATCCTCCAAACCAATGCATCGTGCATAGTCCCGGGACGAAACAGTAAACACCTGCACTGATTTTGCTGACAACTGCTTCTTGATGAGCTCGTTACGCTTTTCTGCAGCCTTGCTGCAAGAGCCACGTCTCATCCCATGGTCGCGTCTGATCTCGTCCGCACTCACGTCGTCACACTTTGTCACCACGTAGGCCACATTGTCGCTGGGCATGTCCCGCAAAGATTTGTCGAGCCACTGGAGCGAGGCCTTGTCCGTGACCGCCCGGTCGACCCGAGCACACACACAAACGAAGTCTGCCCTCTTGAACTCCCTCTGTGCAATGTCATTTCGCACGGCATTGTCATCACCAGTTCCTGGCAGGTCCACAAAGACCAAGTTTGGGGCGAGAACGGACCAGGGACCACTCACTTTTGCCTTGGACACCAGTGGATAGTACTGCCCTTCTTTGGCCAGGGAAGTATCATGAGTCAGCCACATCTTGAGGAGGCTACAGAGGTTTCCCTGGTTCTCGGTACTGTGCTTGTGCTGCCGTTCAACGTTCAGCTTCTGCGGCGTCTTGTTGAAAGCCTTCAGTCAGGGAAGTGTTGAAAAGCCTGTGGCAAGCGCAAGACTAACCAAGCATCAAATACAATTGGTTTCCTCGCGCAACTTGTTGAATGACAAATAAGCAAGGAAAACATAGAAAAACATAGAAAAACTATACCAGTCCCATTCATCCCATTGATTCCACCGCCTTTACCTTATCTTACACCACCTAGCCTGTTTGAAGGCATCTGCCGACGGCCATCCAATCATGGCTTGGGTGCCAAAAACAGCTTCGAACCAATCATAGGCATGTCGAGCACGAGCTGCGTCTTCGTCATTTGGAGGCTTCGAAGGTGGAATGCTGTCAAAATCCATCTCAATATCCTGAGGCGAAATCTGACCGCAAAAACTAAGGGTTGCAGAATATAAGGATCAAAACGGTCAATCCTGGACTCGCTTAATTGATTAAAGGATATTGGAGGCAACTCTCTAGAGTGATCACAAGCCAGGCTGGTCAGCCAGGTTGTTGAGAAAAGCGCAGCTGGAGTAGGTTACCTTCAAGTACTGCATCGCCATACTCTTCTAATATGTGAACACAACTTCGGTGAATTCGAATGTGCTCATGCGATCTCTTGCGTATCTATGACGCTGCACTGCATGAATCTTCATGACAACTTGGTTTGCAGCATTACCCTCCCAGGCAGTCCTCTTCCCCTTCGTCTTCCTCTTCCTCCCCTTCTCCAAACTCTTCAAGCTCATCCTCCTCGGCCCGCTGCGCTTTGCGCAAAAGCTTTTGGCGTTGCTGCTCCTCTCGCTTCTTTTGCGCGATCTCCTTCAAACCCTGCGCAATGAAATTCCAGTACCTTACAAATTGCACATGTTCAAAAAGTTCAAGCCATGTTGGTTTCAAAGCCTTTGGTTCTTTTTGGAAGATGCCACAACCTGGAATAGAATGCAAATGTCCTTCAACAGAATCAATTGAGTCAAGTTGCTCCAAAAACTCTTGGGTCATGCGATCACGCTGGGCGACAAACTCATCCTTACTGTAGAGTTCAAATTCCACGTAGTACGTGTACGGGAAAAGGCCCTTCGACCTAAGCCAACCACCAATCGAACTGCAGGACAAAATCTTATCCCGGTATTGGTGCAGAGTACCATTATTGTCTGGAAAGCATTTGATTAGAGCAAGATCTTGTTCGGGTAAAAAACCTCAAACATTGCATATGTAATGCATGGAAATACTATCACACATGTCGGGCCAAAAGCTGGACTCACCTGGTAGGTGCAAAGATCAAGACAGTATAGAATCGCTGTGTACAAACTTAGGTGGCGAAATTAAGTTGAAGCGTGAGGAACAAGTAACAAGTTGTTGCAACAATTAGCTGCTCAGAATGAGATGCAAACACAAGGAAACAAGAGAATACAAGAGACGTATGAGATTTCATGTCTTGGATGGATCCATGCAACGGCAACCTTCGAGACAACCCAAACAAGTTCTGCAACGAGGGGCCGCTGTGCACAGTAGCGAAGCTCCACGGTGGCTGCAGTGACTGCCGAGCCCTCCCCAGCACTCGGCAGCACCGGAGCGTCACCCAACAGGACGTTGATGAGACGAGATTTTCCGGCACCGCTGCTGCCCACGAACCTGAGCGAAACTAAGTGAAACAGTGCCTGGATGTGCCTGGATTGCAGGCAAGGTTGCTGAATGGTTGGCGAGAATGCTGATAAAAATAACAAGAAAGACGTTCAGTGCTGCGTTCTTAATGGAAACTAAGCAAAATTGAAATTCAACCAACCATGAAGATCCATGAAGCATGTTGACCCGAAAAAGCCTGCGGCAAGTTGCATGATGAGATATTCCGTCTTCAGCGCTTCACATCGTGTCTCAAGACCATGCAAGTCCTTTTTCCAGGTTTTGAACTGGGACCTCTCGACTTGCAGTTCCTGATGGCCTCACAATTTTCAAGCAATGTGGAGCAACGAGGCCCACGGATGCCCACGGTGTCAATGTGCCGTTCCAACTTACAAGATTTCCAACAACTGCAAAACAATTTTGAAGAATATGTATTCGGCAGCATTTAGACCCCGCAATATTTGTCAAGTTGCCTTGCACTTGTCGCAAAAGACCGCCAAAGGTGTCCCACGCAGTGTCGAGTTTCCTCTCTGTATCCTTGTGGATTGAGGCAGGGATTGCATGGATGCGGCTTCGAACCAGCTGGAGCTCATGTACCACTTCCGGCTCCTCAGAAGGCCAACAGGGAAAAGTGCAAACCTAAGCTAAATAGGAAAAAACAAAACAAACGGATTTACAGCATTTTCACACAATATTCGCAACATCCGACAACTATCGACAACTAACATCAAAGTCACCCATCTAGTCTTAGAGGAGGTCAGTTTCCCCAAGTCTATCTTGCCGAATAATCGCTTTTGACTCTCTAACACTCTAATACGACAATACACTCTAATACAAACAACTTGACGTGAATGGATGGGTCTCCAAGATGCGACGGCAAACGTGATCTTACAGCGATCATCTCTCAACTTGCCATCTGCACATACCCTGCAGTTCTCCAGCACAAGGTTCACCTGGAATTGCCGCGTGTTGCCAAGCTCCTGCAGTACCAAAAACAAAGCGACCTCTATAAAAATCCTGGACAGTTGGAAAAACAGCATCATTTGACACAATTCGTTGTCACCAAAACTTTACACATTGCAAGGCCACATGTTCAGCCCGAGCTCCTTCAAAGAGATGACGCCCGAGCTAGGGCGTTTGCCTTCCAGCAAGTTCATCAGCTGGATCTCCGCCTTGACCATGTCGGTGACATCTGACCTTCGTTTCACATGAGAAACACCCAAAATCAATCCGATGTCACCCCTAAATCAACATCAAGGTCAGTTTTCCCCGAAATCATTCCAAATCACATGAGATCGAAGATTACCTTTTAAAATCTTTTAAATATCCTTAAATCATAACCATAAGTAAATCAAATGTAAAACGTTCACTGTCTCACACAGATTTGGCCCTCACTGAGGTCCCAGGCTTCACCAGAATCAGAAACTTCTGGTTGAAGAAGTAGTCTCCGAGGCGAAGAGCCGGAGGATGAACGAAAGGTTCTTCGGGATCTGAGATTGTTTGCAACAAGTTCCGTTTCTGAGGAGGCTGCTGCTTGAGGTCATGTTCCATGGCCTTAGCACATTCTTCTCGGGAATGGCGCGCGAACAGAAGTTCCGTAGCCATCATTTTTTGTTCTTTCGGCCGTTTCTCCTTGTTTCCAAATATTTGTCGCTTGAAAAGGGCAAACATTGCACGTCCAAAGGGATGTTCCGTGACCACCGTCCTCCGTTTATTGGATCTCGGTGTCCCGCAACGACATCTAATGACCCATGCAACTTGTTTTCAAGAGCAACTCCAAAAACGACCAACTCACCTTCTTGACAATCAACTTCGAAAATAACGCCAATGGTTGGACTTCACCCAAAGCGCCAAAACGGCGAATATAGCCCCAAAACATCCCACAAAAGCTTGCTACCCGATTCCCCCAAACCCTTTGAGTCCAGTTGCGCGTCGAAGTGCCTCCAAGGTCCATGGGGTTGTCCTTAGACAAACGTGGGGCAAATTTGGGTGCCCTTAGGCTGGATCAAGAAATGTAACATGCCAAAAGAATGGCAAAAAACCACTCAAACAATTTACATGGCACAGTGGTTGAAGTACTGCTTTGGATTTCTCAGCACATTGATGTTTGTTGGCTTATGGAAGGCGTCCTATCCTCCCTAAATACTGGCATGCCAAGCAAATGTCAGAAGAGCGTCTTGCAGATGGACTGAAGCAACTTGACTGTTTCTGTGAGGGGCTGCCCTCCGTAGATTTTTCGACGCTCAGTTTCTGCTTCAACAGCATCAAGTGTCAGTTTCCTGAGATCTGCTTCGCGAACCCAGAAACCACGAATATCTGGTCGCTGAAGACTTCAGCGGATTGCGTGAATGCATTCGCTTGACTCACGGCTCACATGCTTCAAGAAACGCAGCCCACTTGGGAATGTAGATGCCAACAAATGTAAACACTAGCTACACCTGAACTACGCTAGCTACTTCCAAAGCCTAGATTCGCCTTGAAAGCCTCAGTCGCCGGCGCTGTCACTTTCAAGACTTGGGAGGTCTTGGACGAACCTCGTTACCAGGGCGCCATGACATGCTGAATACCATCAGACTCATCAGACCATCTCATGGTGACATACATCCAGCATCATCCAGCTTTCAAAGGTGACAAATCGGTGACAAAAAAAACCATTTGGTTTATCCACGCCTGTGGAGCGCACTGGAGTCGCCACACAGCGCGCAGCCTTGGAGTCCTTGGAGCTTCCCGCTTCGGCCTTGCGTTTGCCCTCCATGGCGCAAGGTGCTGCAAGGTGAAGGTCGATGTGATAAACAAATGATGTGACGAAGAAATGTAAACTTTTTCAAGACTTAGTTTCTTGAAGATGTGGCGGCAAAGTATGGATGTCATACAACCAATCCAAGTTGTGCATGCAAGTTGCTGCGATTGGCAATTTTTTTCATTGCTTTGCTCAAAAGGAAATTCAAGAAAAATGTTCCATTGACAACAGCTAGTCAAAGCCAAATGCTGCATTCAGCCCTTGCTTTGCTACCCAGTACTGCTTAAATCCAGCATGAAGAACGGGTGGATTCTGGTCCTCTTGCTTCTGGTTTTGAATCAGCTTGCATTTCGGGCACTTTTTGGAATCTACCAAAGAGGAAAATCTGTAAAGACGCCATTTTCAGATAACGTGATAATTTCTAAGGCGTTGTTCCACCATTTCGTTGCTGCCTTCTGACGGGGTGCTTTCTTTCAAAACTCTAAACACCAACACAGGCAGTAAAGCAAAGAATCGTCCCTCCCATGTAGCCGTACATGGCACAGCTCATCACCACGTACAATGGCAGAAAACAAAATATTGCACCAAGCTATGTTGACTTCACACACAAAGAAAACTAGCTCGTAGGGGCAAACTATCCGTTGATTACATCAAAGCCATGATTCGCTGCCGCGCCAGGCACCTAATGCTGCACATGTGGCTCACATCGAAAAGAGAAGCGCTCTCTCCTGGTCATGCGATTCACTAAGGATGGCTCAGCCTTTTCAAACAAACACCTGAAATTCTAGACCAATGTGATGACATGTGCACGATGTTGCACCATTTTGTACAAGAATTGCAAACAATGGAACCAAGAGACATCAAATCATGTCAGCCAGAACAGCTTAAGTAAACAACAACAAACTAACAAGGAACCTGTCTGAACTCTGATCGAAGTCCTTCACATTTTGCCTGTAGTTCTTAATCTGCAACTCTCCATTAGCTATACAGTTTAATCTTACTTTCAATCTTGCCACTGCAACCAATTGTGACAAGACTCGTGTCCACTTCGTGGAATCGATGATGCTCAGGGCATGTTTGCTCCCTTTGGCTTCATACTGCACTGGCATGCCATAACCTCCAAACAAGACAGGAACGGTACCCTCCGGTAGTCAAACATGGCTAATTAGCCGGGAAATCCCTATAAATGTGCAACAAGGGGCAACAATGGGCATAGAAATGGACAAAATCATCCACATGTTTGATTACTAAAGCACAATGCTTGGAATCATCTGCCATCTGCCATGGCAAAGGAAGTGCCCGCCTGCAAAGTCCACCATCTTCCCACCTTCTTTCAGGTGCTCCTGTGGCTGGGATTGCGCACGAATCAGGTCCCATGCTGCATGAGTGTGGACACCCTTGTCATGTTCCATTTCATCAGTTTTGAATCTGTTTGTTGGATAACAAGTGATAATTATCATTTAATGATGTTTACTGTCAAACGTGTTTAACTTAAAATCATCCAAGTCCAAGTCCAGTACACTCCCAGCAGCTTCGTTGCCTCATAGGTCAAGGTTCGCTTCAGATCTGTGGAGAAGTTTCGTGCAGCCCGTTGCCATCCCTGAAAATCGGAGTGGGAACCACCAAATTTCACTGGTAGATCCAACAGCGAAGGGGCCTTTCATGTTTTTGTTTCAGAATCACACCCAATGTTCGACCAATCATGATTGTGGGTACATAATATTGCATGGCATTTTTACAGGCAGGACTCAGGGGTTGCCTAGAATGCATTGTGTTTCAGGCACGACTTTTTCACTAACTACTTTGGAAAAAACACATACCAAACCCTGACTTTCCAGGGACCCTCTGTTTCAATCAACCGTGTTTTTTCCATTATCCACTCCGACCTAGTGGCCCCAATAGGGCCCCAATAGGACCCCCAATATCGGTATAGTCTCACTCCATGTTATTAGGTAACGCGATCTACCATGTAAACAAGAATCGCGGAACGGTTTAGTTCCATGGGGCTACAGAATCTGATTCTTTGCATAAACCCTCATACCGGTATGGTATGGGTCCAGTGGGCTGAGGGGTTTTGATCCCTAGTGTAAATTTTATTAGCATCTAGTGCAAGCAATCTTTTGATTTCATAGTTCCACAGGGTTCCGAAGTAAATTCAACCAATGTAAACCTACGAATAGCCGAATAGGCGACTAGCGTTGCAGTGTGGTATCTTCAACGGCATCTCCCTTCGTTGATGGGACACCTGCACCATGGATCGATCACCATGGCCTGTGTCGAGCCGAGATGTCGAGCAACTCGCCAAACTGCCATGGTGGCCTGGGGGATGCCCACCCATAAAAGTCGTATCGCACAAGGACGAACATTTGGGTGTACACCTGTCAAATGTCATGATGTGCTGTATACCAGTAATCCCGCACAAGGCGGTGGCGGAAGTTTCAAAAATAGGAGGCCTATAGGAGAGTTTAGTTGTTGTGAATCACGGATGGCAGAGTGAATCCATTGATGGACCGAAAGGTGGTTGGAGCTGTGTTTTTGGAGGGGTTGCAATGGTTGCAGGGGTAACCTCACCACAACTGCTGGATGTAGTGTGGTGTAGCGCAGTTCTAGTTGTAATTAGTTATAGTGTAGTGTAGTGGAGTTGTAGTTGTAATGTAGTGTTTTTAGTGTAGTGTAGTTGCAGTTGTAGTTAGTTGTGGTGGGGTAATTAGTGTAGTGTAGTGTACTGTAGTGCTGTGTACTGTAGTGTGGTAAAGTGTAGTGTACTGTAGTGTTGTGTGCTGTAGTGTGGTATGTGTAGTGGAGTCTAGCGTAGTGAAGTGTAAAGTAATGTAGTTGTAGTTGTAGTGTAGTGCAATGTAATTAGTGCAGTGTAGTGTCATTGTAGTGGTATTTGTATTTGTAGTTGTAGTGTACTGCAGCGTCGTGTAGTGTAATGTAGTGATGTTGCAATTGTAGTTGTAACTGTGGTGGTAGTGGTGGTAGTGGTGGTAGTGGAAGTGGAAGTGGAAGTGGAAGTGGTAGTGGTAGTGGTAGTGGTAGTGGTAGTAGTAGTAGTAGTAGTCGTCGTAGTAGTAGTAGTAGCAGTAGTAGTAGTAGTAGGAGTAGGAGTAGTAGTAGAAGTAGTACTGTAGTAGTAGTAGTACTGTAGTAGTAGTAGTAGCAGTAGTAGTAGTAGTAGTAGGTAGTAGTAGTAGTAATAGTAGTAGTAGTAGCAGCAGCAGCAGTAGTAGTAGTAGAAGTAGCAGGAGGAGGAGAAGTAGTAGTAGTAGAAGTTGGAGTAGGAGGAGTAGTAGTCATAGTAGTAGTAGAAGTGGTAGTAGTAGTAGTTGTAGTTGTTGTTGCTGCTGTTGTAGTAGTAGCCATTGTCCATCGTTGTAGTGTAGTTAGTGTAGTGTAGTGTAGTGTAGTGTAGCGTAAAAAGATGCAATTTGTGCAGTGACAGTGTAGTGTAATTAGTGTAGTGTGATGTAGCGTAATATAATTGCTGGCAGTACTGTGGTGTACTTTTAGTTGTAGTTGTAGTTGTCTATCTATCTGTCTGTCTATTTGCAAGCTTGAAAACGAAGCTATTCTGCGAGACTTCCTCAGTTTTTTACCTGGACAACATCAAAAGCGCAGCAATTCTGTGAGATTTCTTCAATTTTTGAACTTGACAACATCAAAAACAAAGCTATTCTGCGAGACTTTCTCATTTTTCGAAGTTGACACAACATCAAAAACGCAGCAATTCTGGGAGACTTCCTTCAAAAATGGAAAGTTGAGTGCAGAGCTGACGGCCTCGTACCAATTCGTTCTGCGAATTTTCCATTCCATCTGTCTAAAGTACTGCACCTGCCACGAAAAAGTGAGGCCAGGTCATACGAAGTGTCACGCAAAGTCATCTTAGCAAACTTGAAGATCTGATGCTCCAAAATGCAACCCCTCTCAGGAAATCAGCTCCCGGACCTCCCAACATCTCTGATGAACATGTCTCTAGTACTGCCTGCCACGGAAAATGCATCTTTCCAGATCCTCTTCAAATGTCCCACGCCTGCCATCGTTTTTGGAAATGCTAAAAAACCCTCACGTTTTGGACACGATGCAGAATCCCTTGCACCTGCCACGCAAAACCACATCTGAACCTTCAAAAGTGGTCCGGGCATGTCGTGTTTCTAAACATTTTGACTTGGAAATGTGCTTCGCGCCACAACAGCGTGCACTTTTTCGACATCGCAACTTCCAAAAAGCTCCGAAGCTGGTGTGCTTTGTAAGAATTTGACTTGGAAATGTGCTTCGCGCCACAACGGCGTGCACTTTTTCAACATCTCAACTTCCAAAAGTAGTCCGACCCTGGTGTGTTTTGTACATTTTGACTTCCAAACGTGCTTCGCGGCACAACGGCGTGCAACTTTTCATGTCTCAGCTGGCCACATGGCTCCGCACCCGCTTTAGCGAGCCTACTTTCGACCCTCCGGAGCCACAAATCATTGGAAAAACGCAAATGTTTCGCGACTTTGCTACCTTTTCGCGCACCTGCATCTTCTTTCTTCTCGCTCTTTCTCTTCTCTGATCTTCTCTCTTCTGCTCTTCTCTTCTCTGACTCTTCCCACCTCTGCTTTTCCATCTGTCCATACTGTCGGAAGTTTGACTTCTAAACTTCCTTCGGTTATATATATATATATATCATATAGTGCATATATTCCATCGCAATCTGACAAGGTACATATCTTGAGATACATACAGATGCAATCTGACAAGTATGTAGTACCAGAACACTACAAAGATTTGGACAAATATGCTTGACATATACCCGCCGTAGGTCCTGCCACAACATAAAAGACATCAAAAATTCTGCTATATGAAAGGATAATATATCTTTATGCGTGCAATACTCCTTCCACAATTTATTTAGGATATACCAATAGTACCGCAGAAGGCAGTGCAGAAGTTTCAAAAATAGGAAGCCTATAGGCGAGGTTGGTTGTTGTGAACCACGGATGGCAGAGTGAATCCACTGATGGACCGAAAGGTGGTTGGAGTTGTGTTTTTTTTGGAGTTGTTGCAATGGTTGCAGTGGTCACCTCACCACAACTGCTGGATGTAATGTGGTGTAGCGCAGTTCTAGTTGTAATTAGTTGTAGTGTAGTGTAGTGGAGTTGTAGTTGTAAGGTAGTGTTTTTAGCGTAGTGTAGTTGCAGTTGTAGACAGTTGTGGTGGGGTAATTAGTGTAGTGTAGTGTACTGTAGTGTAGTGTACTGTAGCGTTGTGTACTGTAGTGTGGTATAGTGTAGTGTAGTCTAGCGCAGTGTAGTGTAAAGCAGTGTAGTTGCAGTTGTAGTGTAGTGTGGTGTAATGTAGTGGTAGTTGTAACTGTAGTTGCAGTTGCAGTTGTAGTTGTAGTGCAATATAATGTAAGTAGTGTAGTGTTGTGTTGTGTAATGTAGTGTCATTGTAGTTGTATGTGTATTTGTAGGTGTAGTGTGCTGCAGTGTAATTGGTGTAATTGTAGTTGTAACTGCGGTGGTGGTGGTGGTGGTGGTAGTAGTAGTAGTAGTAGCAGGAGTAGTAGTAGTAGTAGTAGTAGTAGTAGTAGTAGTAGTAGTAGTAGTAGTAGTAGTAGTAGTAGTAGTAGTAATAGTAGTAATAGTAATAGTAGTCGACGTCGTGGTGGTGGTGGTAGTAGAAGTAGAAGTAGAAGCAGAAGTAGAACTAGAAGTAGGAGTAGGAGTAGGGGTAGGAGTAGTAGAAGTAGAAATAGGAGTAGGAGGAGTAGGAGTAGGAGTAGGAGTAGGAGTAGGAGTTGGAGTAGGAGTACGAGTAGGAGTAGGAGTAGGAGTAGGAGTAGGGGTAGGAGTGGGAGTGGGAGTAGGGGTGGGAGTAGGAGTAGGAGTAGGAGAGGAGTAGGAGTAGGAGTAGGAGTAGGAGTAGGAGTAGGAGGAGTAGTAGTAGTAGTAGGGGTGGTGGTGGTGGTTGTTGTTGCTGCTGTTGTTGTTGTTGCTGCTACTGTTGTAGTAGTTGTCGTGTAATTTTTGCAGTGTAGTGTAGTTAGATGCAATTAAATGTAATTAGATGTAATCTTTGTAAACAGTTATAGTAGCAGTGTAGTGTAGTAATAGTGGTAGTTGCATTTGTAGTTGTATTTGTAGTTGTAGTTGTCTATCTATCTGTCTGTCTATTTGCAAGCTTGAAAACGAAGCTATTCTGCGAGACTTCCTCAGTTTTTTACCTGGACAACATCAAAAGCGCAGCAATTCTGTGAGACTTCCTTCAAACATAGAAAATTGAGTGCAGAGCTGACGTCCTCGTACCAATTCGTTCTGCGAATTTTCCATTCCATCTGTCTAAAGTACTGCACCTGCCACGAAAATTGATGCCAGGTCATACGAAGTGCTGCACCTGTCACGCAAAGTCATCTTAGCAAGCCTGAAGATCTGATACTCCAAAATGCAACCCCTCTCAGGAGCACAGCGCCCTGACCTCCTAACATCTCTGATGACCATGTCTCTTTGTACCCCACCTGCCATGCGAAATGCATCCTTGACGTCCAAAAGTGGTCTGAGCCCGCCAGTTTTTAACACTTTTGACTTCGAAATGTGCTGCGCGCCACAACGGCGTGCACTTTTTTGACATCGCAACTTCCAAAAGTGCTCCGAAGCTGGTGTGCTTTGTAAAAATTTGACTTGGAAATGTGCTTCGCGCCACAACGGCGTGCACTTTTTCGACATCTCAACTTTTGAAAGTGGTCCGACTTTGGTGTGTTTTGTACCTGTTTGGCTTCCAAACGTGCTTCGCGCCACAACGACGTGCAAATTTTCATCTCTCATCTGGCCAGATGGCTCCGGGCCCGCCGCTGTAGCGAGCCTACTTTTCGACCCTCCGGAGCTACAAATCAATTTTACCTTTTTGCGCACCTGCGTCTTCTTTCTTCTAACTCTTTCTCTTCTCTGATTTTCTCTCTTCTTCTCTTCTCTTCTCTGACTCTTCCCACCTCTGCTTTTCCATCTGTCGATATTGTCGGAAGTTTGACTAACTAAACTTCCTTCGGCCATATGTAACCAAACCTTTTGACACATTGTGCCAAAAAAATGTTTCTATGCCTGAATTATTGAAATGAAATGAACGAAGGCAGAAAATCAAAACGAAACCTCATTTTGGAAGGCACGGTATTACATGTCCTTGGTGGTCTTAGTCTGGCGTTCGGCGGCGCTGTCCTCTTCAGCCCTGCGCAACAAACCTGTCCTGTAGACAGGGGCTGATTTTTTTGAACCAAGAGAGTGCCAGCGATGGTCGTCTTCTGGCGTGCAGGAAGCAACAGTTGACAAACGTGCCATCCTATACGGTCTTGGGGAAAATAGACTGTTGTGGGACTGTGCAAACACATGCAAAACCATCAAGATCATCAGGTTCAATTTGGAACACATGTTCTCTCCTCTGCGTCATCGTGACGAGAAGTGGAAATTGTGAATTGGAAACGGATTGCACCGCGGCCGGCCTTCAAAAACATTGAAAAATGAGGAGTTGTAAGAATCTCGCCTGACTACTAGCCCTTTTTGCATCCAGTTTGCTCACAGCAATCAGGAATCAGCGATAAGAGCACCCTACGACACTTCGTGCCGGTGGTGCGAAGATGTCTACGCTGCATTCCCAGGCTGCAAAAAGTGCGGCAATGCACGGCTTAGGGGCACTATTGCTCGCAGCAGCCAGGTCGGAACAGTTTGGAACAGTTAGGAACAGTTCCATCATGTTCCATCTGCAACTCAATCTGCTTCACTTGTTCTGCTTCATCATCAAAGAGCGCTTCTTCTGGGTCTTCTGCATCTGCGTTTCTTCGTCGCCATTTGGCTTCCACAGGCCACGGTGCAACACCTCTGCCGCTGCGTCATGGACCTTCTCCCAACCATGAAAGCGGCCACGCTGGCTCAGCGTGCCCACCGCGTTGGGGAAGGCGTGGTGGACATCATGGAACAGCATCTCGTTCCAGCGATGCTTGCCACCCAACACCAAGGCCATGATATTGTGCAGCACCGGCCAAGTGCGGCCTGGGTCCTGTGCCAAGAATTCGTTCCAGGGGAGAGAGTGAGTGAAGTTGGTGATGAACATCCAGGCCGCAGAGAAACCAATACGAGCGAAGAAGGACACGGTAAACATGAACCTCCATCCCTCGCTCAATGGCCGACCCAAAGGATACGTGCCAAGGAGCCACACGCAAGCCCACAAGCTCAGCACGAAGGCGTTGTGCTTCAAGCGCCTTGGAACCCATTTGTTCCAGAAGTCTTTATTGCATTTACCACCTGCACCCTCATCTGGGAAGTGCATCCTGGGCCAAGCATCCGAGCATTTGACGAAATCACTTCTCTCCAATCGCTACAGTGTGGGGTGCAGCTAAGGACTCAAGACATGCCAGCTGATCCAAAAGTGACATGAACATAATGAACAATGCCAACCACAATGCAAGAAACATAGGCAATTGATGGACAATTGCGTTTGTAAAGTCTGAATGTCTACTGAAACTTTCTGAGGGTCCACCACTCCAGGGCAAAGAGAGAGCCAGTGTCGTTCAGGCCGAAGAAGTGAATGACAGGAATCCATGGGACAGTCAGGATGTACTTGTACCTCCATCTGCCGCGAAGTCAACCCCGCAAGTTCTGCACAGTGAAGAAAATGGAAGCATGTGAAAGCCGACAGGTGTAAAAACAACAGTGGAAGTAGATCTCCGGACGCAAAATGCGATACCATGCAAGGCACTACTTCGATCTGCTTCGTGTGATTCCGAGCGTGGCATATTATATCCTGACATGTTTTCTAACATTCTATCACTCAGGTATATTCTGACAGTCTATCTTGCATTTTTTCTGGCATTCTATCCAACATTCTGTCTGATTTGTCTGGCACATTTTCTGACAGTCTATCTGACATTTTATCTGACATATATATATATATCAATATATATATATTTATATATTGATAAATATATATATATTATATATATATTTATCAATATATATATATATATATCAATATATATATATATTCATTCCATCTGGCATTCTATTTGACATTTTACCTCACATATGTTCTGACATGCTATCTGATATGCTACCTGACATCTTATCTGATACATACATGCATTTTATCATATTTTACCTGGCACTTTTTCTGGTATTTGATTTGGCATTCTATCTGACATAGGATGGGGTCGGGTCTGGCAGCCGCAATGCGGGGATGGTGAACTGTCTAGGAGACTGGCGAGGAAACTGGCATGACACGGCATGGCAAGGAGATGGCGAGAAGGAGATAAGATCAGGGATGTTCTGTGAAAATCTGGGAGCCTCACCTGGCAAGGGGGGAAAAAATCCATGCAATTGGAAAATTGAAAAAAATATGGCCAGCGGGCCAGTTGGTGCTGAATGGTCCAGCCCACTGCTGCAAGGCATAGTGGAACTCTTCAGGATCCCAGCCGAACTCGCCCTGGATCAGCAGGTCCACAGTGCTGGCGTGGTGCCGGTTGTGCTCCAAGACAAATTCCTCCCATGGAAGGGAGAAGAAATCCTTAGAACCAAGCTGGCTTGCCGCACTGTGAAACTCGAGTTCCAAGATGTTTAATAGTGAACAACGGCAGTTAAAGCTGCAAAACATGCTAAATGCCCAATCTCCTTGCATGTGTAAAAGGAATGCCCTTTTCGTTTGGATCAAATACAAAACAGGCCAGAAATTTTACGTAACGCAACAAAGTTGCCGCAAAGGAATGGGTCAAGAACTTCTGGAAGTCGTAAACTGGGAACGTAGCGCCGTGCATGACATCATGATCGATGTAGATCCTGAACGCCGACAAAACCATCTGAGGAGACAGAAAAGAAGGACGAGGCATTGCAAAACAGAATGTCTTTGGAAAATACGCGAGCTGTTCCAAACGGTATGTCGACGAGTTAAACACGTTTTAGAATAGAACCGTGTCAACATGGTGTAAACGTAAAGGTTGAAAATTAATGAAAATTAAACATGCAATGCGAAACAAGCATCTGCTGGATAGCAATGTAAGAGAAAGGCAAGCCAAACAAAAGAGTGCAGGTCCACCAATACTCGGGGAAAGTTGCCAAGGCTGCGCAGTAGCCGATCACCATCAGCACTTGGGTCACGAAAATCGCCTGCGGCAATTGAGAGTCGGGGTAAGTTGTCACATCGGTCCGCTTTCCACTGATTCAAAAAATGAGTTTAAGTCTTCGCCTATGTAACGACAGGATGCTTTGTTCGCCACAAAGAATGGAAGGAAGAATCTGAGCCTTTTGCCCCACATGTCCCATATATCAGGGTCTCCAGATCTTGCATCAGCTCTGCACCTCCTCCTCCTTCTCCTCCTCTTCCTCCTCCTCCCTCCTCTTGCCTCCGCTTCTCATCCTCCTCCGCCTTCTGGCTCTCCTCTTCGCCTCCTTGCAGAACAAGGGTGCAGATCATGAACATATTTCACGCCCTCATGGCAAGCTCCCAGATGCTGCCTGGCACGCTGGACCTCGACTGTGACTACAGACAGCGACCAACTTTGGCCCAGCTCTTTTCCCGCGCAGACTCCGCCCACCACAGGAATTTTGAAGACACCAAGCGATTTCATCATTTTCACGCATCAGAATTCGGGACGTGGCTTCCCCACTGCATTTAACGCAAGCCGCCAAAACATAGCATGAAAAGACTTTCTTTTAAGGGTTGATCTCAGCCACAATGAGGAACATTGTATCGGCAACGCAACATTGAACCATTCAAATACCAAGTTGCACTCACATCCGGCATTTATGTGTTGTGTGGAATTTGGTTGTCCTACCGACGTGGGTTGACCGACGTGCGTTGAAATCTGTTCCTGCGCGTCTTGGAAACAGATGAAACAGACAATAATGAGTGCGTGGTTGGTACGGGGGCTTACGAAAACATGTAAACGCAACATTGCTTTCAAATATATCCAAGCCAAGTATCCAAGTCGGCACAACAACATGTTTGATGATTTCAAGTGACAAGATGCAGGCTTGCGATGTCTCTGACGCTATGTTAAACGCAAATTGGAGCGACTTCCTCGCACTGACTTCTAGACCCAATTCTGGCTTTACGAGTGAGTTGGCGCGACCAAGGTTTGAATCGTTGAAAGAAGTCCATCCCCGCAGTCTGTCAAGCTTGCCGCGGGGTGAGCATCAACATTCAGCTCCTGCACAGCCAGCAAGTCACAGAAGCACTCACACGATCTGCAATTACCAGCCCAACTGCTGTTCAAAGTAGACAAGCCCCTCGTGCCGCAGGACCAACACCACCAAGCAGGCTTCATGCGCATTCAACTCCGCAGTTCCAAGCAGCAGCCAGTTCTCTGGCCACTTGAAGGCGCTTGCACCCGTCTGCAGGACTACCACATTTATGCTTCGGAATGCTTCGAGCCACTTTAATGAAGAAGCAACGGGAACGAGCGTTGATTTCCAAACTCAGCCAGACGCAAAACTCGTTTGACCCTTGGCCGGGTGAAACCTTCTTCTCCAGATGGCAGCCACGCTTGCTGACATGGCTGTTCAGCCCTTGCGCCCAGTGGCGTTAGAATCGCATGTTGATGACACCGGCCACAGTTTGGGCAGCTGGCACAACCTTGCGAAACCCATCTTGCCAATGCCAGGATGCATCCAGGCGATGAGGCTCGTGAGCTTGAAACCTTGTTTTTGCCTTGAAAAGGCCAAGGTCACACAGAAGGAACGTCCAATCATAGGCTTCATCGACACCCATGGAACGGAAGCCACCATGGCCGGACACACAAAAATCGATCCAGACGGTTCGCCACGATGCGGTACTATGCTGATCACAGCGATGGTGCAGCCACAGGCACTTTAGTTTGGCGCAATACCATATTGCTCCTTGAAGCCTTCTGGTCCACCCTGGCAGGATGCAAGATGGAGCCACGGCTGATAGTCTTGTTATGGATGCTGCGGGGCACCATGTGAGTGCATTTTTTGGAAAAAGGGGACAGAGCTGGCTCTGCTCCGAATATCTAACAATCGAAGCATGTGGTGCGTTGGGCGCAGTTGACAACGCCAAGGGCAGGATGCATGCTGAGTGGGGCAGCATGGTCATTTGAGGCATTTTGCAAACTACCACTGCACAAACCAAAAGGCAGAGGTTCTGAAACAACACACATACACAAAGAAGCAATCACTGAATTATAGCAGCAACTGGCGACAAGGGTTCGCAACAAGGGCTCAGAGTGATCACCAAAAACTAAAAAGCAGCCATGTGGTCAAACTTTTCGGTGTTAAGGGTAGCAGGCGGGTATACTGCAAAGCTCCATGGATCACTGCAATCTTTCGCTTGTCCCTGCGAGCCAAAGCAATCGCAACTTCACTCATTGTCACGTAAACATTGAAAGCTGCAGTCGTCATGTCATGGAGTCATGGACTCTGTGACCGACTAGAGTAAGTTTGCTTCCATCCGGCGCGGGTGCAGTCCCTTCCCGTTGCCCCGGACATACCTGCTTTCTGAAATCAACAACTTCATTCCGCGGTTGATGGGCTCTTGGAGTTGGGGCGGCTCCAAGGGCCCCAAGCGACCTTTAAAAGAAAAGTGACAGAGACATGCACCCTCGCCTCCAACAAATTCAACGTAGCATCCGCCACAAACACACTTGGCCAGGATGACTTTACAGGCTGCTCACCATTTAGAAAGGCTTTGTTTTGTCAGCAGCGTCTTTCAGAAGGGCTTGCAGCTTGCACCTGAATTTATCCAAAGACATGTCGGCGAAGCCAAGGGACAAAACCACTCAGAGCGAATCTGCTTGGTGCGAACACCAGATCCCGATCACGCGAGGATCACTGTCAGAACAAGTACAAGCAAAGAAGGGAATAGATGTCAGACTAGATGTCAGGGTCTACAGTCCAGGCTATTACTATATGTCGGAGCTTGCATCAAGACAAATGCCCGAACATATAATTACTGTGTGCTTATATGTTTACACGCGGTGCTTTTGTCCGAAGGTTTGTCTTGTTACAACAGAACAACATAAAACAACCATAACGCTGAAACTTCACCCCAAGAAGCAGTCAAAACGTTCCACATGTAGATCATCTGCTCGGGGGTGATGATAATAATGATAATGATTATGATAAAGACGACACGATGCCGCACCGAAGTATGTCGTAGACGTCAAACACCAAGAACATTATGCCTCAGCCCATCGGGTGGCAACTGAGTGAAGCAATGAGAGCTTGTCGCTCCCACGCAGCAGCTTCAGCACACGTCTGCATGCACTGACTTCTGAGCGAACCCCTGGCCAAAAAACTCTCTGGCAGCTCGATCAACCCTTGCATTCAAAGCTCTAGCCGCTATCTCCCCACAAGGAGGGGCGACCCAACCACTCGGAGCAAGTTTGTCGTGGGATGGGACCCACCACTGCACAACTTCCAGTGTATCATGAAAAGAGTGCCTCAAACTGACTCAAACTAACAAAACGTTTTCCCAATTTAGTCGCACCAAAACCTTTGCAGACCTCAATGGCAGACAAACAATCGGATAAGACATGCACAAATCCGCCAGTGTTGCATCGTGAAAGTGCACGAAAAAAACGCTAAAAGAGCTTCCACTTCAGCGTGATGTGCCGACTGATCTTCAGCATCAATGCCCATGGCAAATCCACCACTACAGCCCAAGCAGCCACTGAATTAACAACACTGACCATCTGTGGCCAGTAGCAAATGTCCATTCCAACTCAAACGGTGGGTGAAAACTGCAGCTAACTCTTGAATGAAATTATCGTACCCTCCAACCACAGGTGGCGGAGGGACCTCAGGCACCACTCTCGCAAGCATCCGTGCTTCCACACGATTGCTCGGTGCACTTACACCAATTCGCTCCGCGGCTGTAGCCGCGCAAGACCATATCAGATGCGGTCGTGAGGGACCTTTCAAACCACACAAGCAAACTATGTCAGCACCCCTGTGTCGTTGACTTAGCTTACGTGCTTTATGCCATGCAGAGCAGCCGGTGACTAATGCAGAATTGCGTCCAACAGTGTCATGCGCGTTTCTCCAAGCTTCAACATGCCCTACAAAAGTGCACAAAGGATCATCGTCGACCCCTGGCAAGTCGGGTCATTGTGCAAGACCCGGTTCCTCTGGCCGATGCAAAGAAGTTGTAACCCGTGTGCATTTCCGAAGCCCCTCTCGGCGGAAACAATCCATGAGCCACTCCTTTAACACTTTGTCAGAATCAACGCCCAACTCAAAACGCCGCGTCCTACGCATGCTATCGCGCCTGCAAATAAAACGCCCTTCTTCCTCAACCCGGCATTGCAAGGTTTCCAAAACTTCCATAGTGACAGTCAGTAAATCACACCATGTGAAAGGGTTGTCATGCAAAAAAACGCGTTCAACCCAATCAGGAGGAGCGGAGTGAAGTCGAATGGCCTCCTGTAGTGCAGCCCACCGCAATGCAAATTCTGGGTGACATCGCCACCCAGTCACTTAATGAAGTAAGAGCGCGGGCGTGTCCACAGCCATCTTGTCACGCAATGCCCCCTGCATGCCGCCACCAGTGATGCTAACTCATCCTTGTCAAGTCGTGCAAAACCACCGGCCCATGTGGCCATGGGCAGGACCAAACTGCGAATCAGCGCCATTTGGGATTCCAATGACTGAGCAGCACAAGCAATTGATCGCAGTCGACAGTAAGCCACCTGCAACTTGAATTTCTTCAGCATGGGGGTGTCACCAAGATGTATGGGTATAACAATGCCAAGTATAGACAATTGTGTGCCACCTGTGTAACCGAGGCTTTGTGCCAACGAAAGGCCCTCACCACACTCAGAGCTGAAGGCAACCCTACACTTGTCAACCTCACACTGAAACATGTAAGCCTGGCCGAACTGGTCACTGCGCGCTTTGGCTCGCTCAGCTGACGCCCGAGTCCGAGCCCCAAACAAGCGGTCATCCACAAAAGATAAAGTGGCAACCTCAGGTTCACCATCGCCTTCTACGACCTGTGACCACACTGCCATCACCACTGCCGCCAGCAACGGTGATAATGGGCATCCCTGACAGATGCCACAATGGATCTCATGCCGCGACCTCCCCAAAATGCCTCCATTGGAAAAGACACGCTGATGGCCAGTGTAAAAATGAGCCACCAACTGACCAACTCACGAGACTGCCACAATGCTCCAAACCTATCGAGTGTCATCAAGAGATGAGGAAGGCGTATTGTATCAAACATTTTTGCCAAGTCCTGCTGGATGTACATGAAGTCCTCCTGCAAAAAATGCGTCCTTGACACCACTGCGATGCACGCTGCCCAAAGCGTGGTGCCCGGCCCATGAAGTAACCCGGCCATGATCGTAGTGAACATGCCAACACGCGAGCACCAACACGCCAAGCATCCGCCACAAACACACTTGGCCAGGATGACTTTACAGGCTGCTCACCATTTAGAAAGGCTTTGTTTTGTCAGCAGCGTCTTTCAGAAGGGCTTGCAGCTTGCACCTGAATTTATCCAAAGACATGTCGGCGAAGCCAAGGGACAAAACCACTCAGAGCGAATCTGCTTGGTGCGAACACCAGATCCCGATCACGCGAGGATCACTGTCAGAACAAGTACAAGCAAAGAAGGGAATAGATGTCAGACTAGATGTCAGGGTCTACAGTCCAGGCTATTACTATATGTCGGAGCTTGCATCAAGACAAATGCCCGAACATATAATTACTGTGTGCTTATATGTTTACACGCGGTGCTTTTGTCCGAAGGTTTGTCTTGTTACAACAGAACAACATAAAACAACCATAACGCTGAAACTTCACCCCAAGAAGCAGTCAAAACGTTCCACATGTAGATCATCTGCTCGGGGGTGATCTTGGTGAACAAGAAGGCCAAGTTTTGAGGCATAGGGTCTGGTTTGTTAGCTGTTGGGAACAGCCGGTTGGTCTTCAAACTCCTGTTCTCGTTGTTCTTCTCGACCTTCAGCATCTTGTCCTGCGCAATTCCAAGGTCTCTGGCGCAGCAGCATTGCTAAAAAATGATTTAAAAAAAATACAGCTTCATGCTGCATTGCATGTTGCAGTGTGCTTTCCCCACGGATGATATTCCAGAACGAATCGGAACTCGATCAAAAACGGGAGATGCAAAAGATCAACACATGCAGTACATCTAGGTACCTCCGCACATTGGAACCGGAAGCAAACAAAAAGTCACTGGAGTCCTGGCTTGCTGCAACACCTGCTGCATTGGGGTCACCCTCACCCGGCAGCAAGTTCTTCAAAGCCGCTATTTCGTGATCGTGGGCGTACTTTTTCTTCAACTCCTGTCAACTGTCACAGAATGCTTTCCCTCACCCAAAATCTGTCGAAACCAAAGCTTTTTCAGCCATGATGATGATCATGATGGTCATGGAGACAATCATGAAGTATTATTACTATTAGGCTGCAAAAACAAAATTTCATGTCCCATCTGTACCCTACCTTGCAACAAAAATAAAGTACTGTAGTCCGAATTTGACGACACGCACACAAAAGCATTAGCTGGGCTATGAAATCGTCCCACTTCATATTGCTACATATTGCTACAATGCGGCCTCTCAAGCAAACAGCAACCTCCTACAACACGGGATCTTGCAACTCATTTACCATTTATTTGACAGTTTTGTTGCGGCCACCTGAAAGGCTCTCATAACCCTAAATTCATTGAATAGGTCAGGGCATGCGTCGAAAATGAATGATTTATTACCTATTTCTCTCTCTACAGAAGGTCTGCGCGCAAATCCGGCGCTGGTCTGCGGCGCACAATTTCTTGTCAATCGAGTTCTCGCTACAGTATCGTTCACATTTTTCCGACCTCTTGTTCCAAAAATGGTCCCCGCCCATCACTTTTCTCCCCTGGGAATTAAGTGGCTAATATGGATTCTCCGTTTTCTAGACAAGACGCGGGAATCACATATAATTAACTACCAACATGGCACATCTAAAGAATCACAGGCCAGCATGCATGGGGTCTGACACCCAAAAAATCATTGCCAAGGCAACCAGCTACTAACTACCAAAAATACAAAATAATAAACACATAGTCTCCACAGAATGGGAAGGTCCGGGTTAGCGTGCGGCAGGTCACCCTCCCCCTTAAGACTTGCACCTGCTTGCATACCGCAATTTTTCAGCGACTGCTGGCAAAGCCAAAAGTTAAAAAACACCTAAGTTATATCTAAATACGATGGTCCATGATGCTCTTCCCAGAAACTGGGAGTCCGGGTTCCAAGCGGACAAAAAAACATTCTATTTACCATACAATAGTGCCACTTTTAACATTTTTTCACCAATGCACTTTTGTCGACAGCTTTTTCAGATGGAGGCCCGCACCCGCGGAAACACAGACCCTCCCTTGGCGACCCCTGGAGCAATCACACGTGTAAAATGAGAATGATTTGCGCACTTCCCTTGTTTCACCGCAAATTCACGCGCTCGCAAACTGATACAGTGATCTGCTGTATCCACTGGCCAACTACTGTCGCTACTTCCGTGGTTGACAGGATGATGTCAAGACTGACCACGACCATCCGTGAAGATAAGAATATATAATGATCACGAATTCACTAATGGTCTTTTTTCAGCTCCTTTGCAACAAAAATTGCGGCTCTCAAAGACTGACTCCCCTTTCCCAAAATCAATCCAAACCAAGGACTATTCACGCCGATCTTCGAATATCTAAACGGACAAACAAGCACAGCGCTCTATGGAAAGTCCTCCAAGTACTCGTCAGCGCCGTAGAAAATGGACGCCTTGGAGTGGCCTCCCTTCTTCTTCTCTGCGCCCAGAAGGGGTGCGCTCGTCGCCATACTGAAGCTCTCTGAAGCTGGCAAAAGCGGAAAATGTGATTGCGACGTGCAATCAGAGACAATAACTTGAGGGAATCAACCCCTGGGATTCACCCCAGAGTTCAAGCAAACCAACAACTCACAAAACTAAACATGGGTGCAGCTCAACTGTGCATACGTAGATTCAAACGGTCACAGCTGACACAGTCGATGCACAAAACTATTTGCATATCAATCCAGACGCCAACATCCGTCTTTTCTGTCTGCTGTGCACATCTTACCTCATGGTCTTGGGTGCTGCCACCTTTGTACAAGTTCCAGGTACTTTCATCCATGCAGCCCTGGAAGAAGCATTGCCAGTCACAGGATTGACATATTCATCATCGGTATCAATTTGCGACACAGAATTTTTGTGTCAAAGAAAAATGATTGGGGTGGGAGGAAAGTGGACATGTGCCTTTGTTTGTAGGTTTTGTAGGTTTCCTTCACCATTTTGGGCACAGTTTTTACTATTTTTACTGGTTTTCGACTTATGCCAGTGGCATTTTGGTGCATGTTGGAATCGCCTGAGGAGCTGGTCGGCATTCAGTTTTGATCGGTCTCCACCCAAAAAACTAACATGTGGGTTTTACATGGAGGTTTGTGGATCACCTCACACACACTCTTTCATGGCTCACTTCCAACACGGAGACCTCACCTACAACATCGATTTCTGGGGTTAGGGAACTATTCTTTCCCCGACTTCCCAGCTTCCTTGGTCCACCTAGCATGTGTAGCCTGCGGAGGGTGGGGGTCAAGAAACTAGTCTTCCTTCAACTTGCACCTTTTGTATCCTTTTGTATCCTTTTGAATCCTTTTGTTTGGTCCATCTTATGCACTTTAGGCATGACGGGTGGCGCATTTGGGTTCTTTTCCACGTGCAACTTCTTCCTAGTCTAGAAGTCCACATGCAAGTGGTGCTAATACCATGCCACACCCCTATTGCACGTCAATCTCTGACACCTATGCCTATGCAGCAGCAACGCCTGAGAATGTACTTGCGCATTAAAGCTTGACTAGTTGGCACTGCCACAGAAGTGCGAAACAAGATGGAACAATGACAAGAGAAGCCATACTGCCAGGTTGATTTATGAATCCAGTGCTACCAGTGGCTACCAGGTCTGCTTCAACCCTTCCAAATAAAGTCGCCAAGAGAGCTTGTTGGCAATTGTGTCTCTCCACCTCAGGGCTCCTAGGAGTGCCACTAATATCTGTCTCGTCACTCTCACTGTCCTTCTCGCTCTCCGTTGTGCAATGTCATCGCCAAACAAGTCCTACCAAGATGTGCTTGGGTTTGTACCCACTAGCCAAGCGAAATCTGCAAGATTCAATTCGATGCGGAGCTGGTTCATGCAGGATGAATTCGGAAGAGTCGGAAGCTTCCAGCATGGGACCGTTATCAACCAATAAATGACACGTCTCTTCATAGTTGGTGATTGGATGGTGTCATCCCTGTGTGATCTGTTTGGGCACCTCTTTTTGCCACAAACATGTTGGAGGATACGAAAATATGCGCTGTAGTTGTTGGACAGTAACTCTAATCCCTCGAAGTAACATGCCTGCCATACCTTTCTTGCCTTCTCAGTGAATCCACGAAGGAACACTATGTGTGTCCAAATTGGAATCTCCACAGCTGCTTTTGCCATTCCATGTCCCACATCAGAGGAAACACTCGTAATTTCTGTGCGCACCACCCTCCAATGCGTCTGAGAAGTTTGAACAAAGTGTCAAAATGCAGCCTCTAATTAGATTCTAATTCAAAGCCTGGAGGGTCGCAGGCAGAGTCTGCCACTAATCCGCAGGAATGGAGTTGACCAAGGACTCTTTTTGACGAGCGCACCATCCCGGAAGTCCGCGGGAGAGATGAAAAAGACTGGTTGTTTGCATTTGACATATGACAAAGACACAATAAGACATACACAGACCGTTGGTAATGTCATTTGCAGGTGTCCTACGTCAGCATTGAAGAAGGTTTTTGAACATCGAGTCTGCTTTTCTTGACACGAGCAGCATGAACTAAGCTTTCGGGGAAGATCGATACAGATTGAAAGTCAATCACTTCTCAAACACCCTATAGTCGACTATACCAGTAGTGCCCGCACGAGGCGGGGCGGAAGTTGTCTTAGGGTTATACATGGTTATACTATAAGCCCTTTCTCACCTATAGAACTTGCATGCGCCGCGCGCCAGCCAGGCCCGTGCCCGCGTGCTTTGTGCAAAGCTGTTGCGGTCTTGTGGTCCAAGAACATGACCTGTCACTGTGCGCGACCCCGGTGCAATGCAACGCCAAGCGACACTCTTCGCACTGCATTCTTCACACCCCGCGCTCCACACTTCACACTTGCACTTCATCTCAACTCATCTCATCCGAGCTGTTCTCATCTCATTTCATGTCTTCTCAAATGTCAGCTAAGTTGTTCTTGACTATTTTCATTTTATCTACGCACATGGCAGCAAAACATAGCAACATTCATGCAGCCATTCCAATCCGATCTGCAACGAGGGGTTCCACAACTGCATAGAACTACGCACACACAAAGACACGCAAAGTGCAGAACACCAAGGGAGAAATAGGGAGAACCAAAAAACATCAAAACGAGCGTACCCGCAACCGCCTCACACACGAGCTGCCCTTCACCGCCGCCTGCAGCTACTTTACGGGAAAAACACAAAGTTTTGTGCTGAGGCTGCCTCCCCAACGCAAGCCCGATGCAACAGTCATGCGGCCATTCCAATGCGATCTGCAACCAGGGGTTCCACAACCGCATAGAACTACGCACACACAAAGACACGCAAAGTGCAGAACACCCAGGGAGAAATAGGGAGAACCAAAAAACTTCAAAACGAGCGTACCCGCAACCGCCTCACACACGAGCTGCCCTTCACCACCGCCTGCACTACTTTACCCGGAAAAACACAAGGTTTCGTGCTCCGGCTTCCTCCCCAACACAAGGCCCATGCAACATTGATGCAGCCATTCCAATGCGATCTGCAACCAGGGATTCCGCAACCGCATAGAACTACGCACACACAAAGACATGCAAAGTGCAGAACACCAAGGGAGAAATAGGCAGAACCTTAAAACCATCAAAACCAGCGTGCCCGCAACCGCCTCACACACGAGCTGCCCTTCATCGCCGCCTGCAGCTACTTTACACGGAAAAAACACAAGGTTTTGTGCTCCGGCTTCCTCCCCAGCACAAGCCCCATGCAACATTCATGCAGCCACTATATTGCGATCTGCAACAAGGGATTCCACAACCGCAAAGAACTACGCACACACGAAGACACCTCCCCAACACAAGCCCCATTCAACATTCATGCAGCCATTCCAATGCGATCTGCAACCAGGGATTCCACAACCGCATAGAACTACGCACACACAAAGACACGCAAAGTGCAGAACACCAAGGGAGAAATAGAGAGAACCAAAAGAACACCAAAACGAGCGTACCCGCAACCGCCTCACACACGAGCTGCCCTTCATCGCCGCCTGCAGCTACTTTACGGGAAAAACACAAAGTTTTGTGCTCCAGCTTCCTCCCCAACGCAAGCCCCATACAACAGTCATGCAGCCATTCCAATGCGATCTGCAACCAGGGGTTCCACAACCGCATAGAACTACGCACACACAAAGACACGCAAAGTGCAGAACACCAAGGGAGAAATAGGGAGAACCAAAAGAACACCAAAACGAGCGTGCCCGCAACCGCCTCACTCACGAGCTGCCCTTCATCGCCGCCTGCAGCTACTTTACACAGAAAACACAAGGTTTCGTGCTCCGGCTTCTTCCCCAACGCAAACCCCATGCAACATTCATGCAGCCATTACCGTGAAGTCTCACAGCACACTTCATCAGGTAAAAGTCATCAGATGTAAAGTCTCACACCACCCTTCATCAGGTAAAAGTCATCAGATGTAAAGTCTCACACCACACTTCATCAGGCAAAAGTCATCAGATGTAAAGTCTCACACCACCCTTCATCAGGTAAAAGTCATCCGTAACTCGGAAGATTGCTTCCCAACTTCCTTTGATCAATACCAAGTCCAGTACAAGTTTGTGAAGTTTATGTGTCTGAACCTTCCGGCAGAAACACCATGGACATGAGATATGTTTGCTCAGTGATACCTGGACCTAGTTGAATCTGCTACATGGTAGCTGCGCTAGTTGAACAGCAGGTCCTGATCCATTGGTCAACTCCTCTGGAGATAAACATGCCGTCTAAGAGCGGTCATGAGTTTCCCCAAAGACAGGCCAAGCATTGGGCCTGTCGAGTGGCTCATGAACGCCTCAACAACTGACAAGACCTGGCCAAAGCCAGCTGGCCAGCGTTGACATCACATCCTGCCAAGGCAAACAGCGTTCAAAGTCAAAATGCCATGCACCTTAGATGCTATGTACCATCAAAAAAGGATCAGGATCATATTATCCTATTTTAGCACATCCTGGGTTCATACTCATATCTGATATTTTAAAATAGTTAATTTCACCAATTTTTACCAAACCATTTGCTTCATTGGATTAGCATTGCGAAGGTGGAATTGTGGAAATACATATATAATATAATTATTATATATTCAGTATATATATATATATCATAGTAACGAAATGTTGCGAAGACATTCAAAATCCTTCCAACATCTACGAGCTTGCCGCGGCCTTGTGAGCTGTCCCATCTGTCAACCGCCAGGTTTCAGAGGCCTTGGCCAAGGGTACGAACTATCTATACCTACATTGTTCAAATGTCTCAGTCTTAACATACAAATGATGCATTATATGATACAGTATATATATATATGTATATATACAATACAATACAATACATTACATTACATTACCTTACATTGCATTACATTACATTACCTTGCCTTGCCTTGCCTTACCTTACCTTACCATACATACATTACATTACATTACATTACATTACATTACATGGCATTGCATTACATTACATTACATTACATTACATTAATACATACATACATTACATTACATTACATTACATTACATTACATTACATACATACATATTTACACTACATTACATTGCACTGCATTACATTACATTATATTACATTATATTACATTACATTACATTACATACACATACATACACATACATACACATACATACACACATACACACACATACACACATACACACATACATACATTACATTACATTCCATTACATTGCATTGCATTGCATTACATTACATTACAATACAATACATTACATACATTACATACATTACATACATTAAATTACAGACATACATACCATACCATACCATACCATACCATACCACAACACAACACAACACAACAGTACAGTACAGTACAGTACAGTACAGTACAGTACAGTACAGTACATTACATTACATTACATTACATTACATATATATATATACATGCAATCAGATATAAATCGTACAAATCTAAATGTGGACATTATCCAACTGGGATCAACTTGGGACATCTGGAAACCCGCTTAGATCCGAGCGATCCGTGCTGTGGACATTGGCTGCAGCAATTGCCTCATCGCTATATGTGGTGGCAACCAGTGGAATATGATGGGAATATGATGGAACTATACTGGGAAATATAACGGAAATATGGGGTTATACTAAGTCCAGCTCCAGTACTTCTTGCCTTAGCTCCAGCCTGGGACCATCTGGCCATCTGGGGCCCCTACAAGAAATCCCAAAATGTGATGCCACTCGAAGCATCCTGACACTGTGGCAGGCTTTTTGTCAAGGCATCGTTTTTGTCAATGCTGAGATGCACAACCCTGGAAAAGTCTCCGGTCAATTACTGTATATAATATATTTAGAATTGTATGTATTATATATAATATGTATATACAGCATACAGTATGTCAAGGGTTTCCAGCAATGACCCTGATGTTGCCAGACCCTTCCATAAAGAACAAGGACAGCCAAGACTTTCAAGTGGTCCATTTGGATGTCCTGTAGAAACCCTGGATTTGCGTGTCAATCTGAAGACAAGACCAATGATTTGCAAAAAGATTCTGCAAACATCCAGAGCTCTCTGAAGCAAAATAAAAAAAAAGCATCTGTACAATAAAACAGGAGGATCCTGACTTGCTCAATGAATTCTACTAAATTCTACCGTGAAAACTCATTGATTTTCCACCGGCCTGCTGCCCTGACAGACCAAGATCGGCAAGAGCCTGGCGCGCCACAACTGGACCCCCCGTTTGGGGGAAGACTTGCCACGGGAGAACTCCCATGATGCGTCGCCTCCGAAATCACTTGGGTGCTATCATCTAGGCTCAGATTCAATCCGGATCTCAAGTCCTCGGTGCCAGCGAGCTCGGCTTGCAGGTGCAACATAAATTTTCCAAGTGAGTTTGAGTTTTGCCAACTCAGCGATCAAACAAACTACAGAAGTTCAAGAACCATCAAGAACCACTTTTGTTTGTAAACCGATGTAAACCGTTGCTTTTTGTGCTCTAAAAGTGTAGCCGCTTATCCAGTGGTCGATGAGGAATAAAAGGAATGCTGCATTGAGAGTTGTCTGCGAGTGTACAAACACCGCCGTCAATGACTGTAAAATTCAGCTGCAGTCTCTTGGATCGGCTTAGGTCATCTGCTCACGCATCAAAGAAGCTGGGAACTGACCAATTTGTTCACCCTAGTGTGTAGTCAGGAATATTCAGGCATGTTATGGCATGTTTCACTTCCCAAGTATATAGATTAGATTTGTATCCAGCAAACCAAAGACCCTGGACTTGGAAGTCCATTGTCTGACTCTTTAGCTGAATTCAAAGCACTGCCAGTTGGGAAGCCGCACTTCTACAGAGATCAGTCCGTCTCCATCGGAATCCAGGAGATCAAAAACCATACTCTTCACACGTTGATCTCCTGCAGTGCACTGGTGGCGTCTGTTGCAACAACGTCTATGGCTATGGCAATTGGACGTTGGATGATTCTAAGGCAAATGGTAAATTCTGATAAGGTTCTGACGTATTCAAGATTCGTTTGTTTTTTTTCCGCATTCAACAAAAGCAACATGTGCAAATGAGTAATATCAACCCCGGATGAAAAAAAACTTACTCTTAATCGGAGGTTTACTCAAAAAATAGTGAATTACTATTAAACTTGGTACCCTTCCTATTGATAAGCTGGGGGTTATCAATCCTGGGTTAACATTAATTAACCATAACTAACACCACATTTGTTTGTGGCTTTGCGGCAGCAGCTCCTTGGATGCCAGAATCATCCAAGGCTGCTGCTAAGAATCTGGTGTATCCAATGCCTGGCGACGGATCACTTGAAGTGGGAGACCAAAACTGTCAGGTGCCGTTCGAACTTCGAAATCGCGTTAAGAAAGAAACTGAAGACCTAAACAGGTGATATATAATTGATATTAATTGATATTAATTGACAATGATAGTATGTGGTGCTACATGGTGCTACAGTTCGCGTCGAGACCAAAACCCTGATCTTTCGCAGACTCTGCACATCTCTGCACCCTTGCGCTGCAGAAAATGATGCCAAGAGAACATCCGTTCTCTCCCAGCAGTCGCTCAACTTTGGAGAACCTTAGGCATCTAACGCACGGATCATGAACGGCAATAGTTCAAATATGTTCAAAATTCCTTAAGAATTGGGGTAGTCCTTGGCACAGTAGCATGATTCCGAAAGTCTTTAGACTGTGTGGTCCATAGGTTCGCTGATATTGGCTGGTTTTTTGATCACGAGAAGTCAGGAGTTCAATCATATTCTGCCACAAGACAGAGAACGTCCTCAAGTCTCGCCACGGCTGAAGGTGGGTTGCAAGTACAGTCGTTAAATGTCGTTAAAATAGCAGAGGAAGCGTGAACTTCTCCTAATTGCTCAAATTCATTCAAATTCTAGGAGGATCAACAGGCCATGGAAAACAACTGGTCATCCTGAGGACAATGCCAGCCGGCAGCAGGTTGCATTCCATGCATCTGCAAGAAGTGGCGCAAAGAAGTGATCGTCACCTGCCAGATCTATCTACAGCTGAGAAAGGGATAGAAGAAGGAAGCAAGTGAGCCATGAAAAATACCCTTAACCCATCCCAAAAACTGCTTGGTTCATAGGTATCTCCATATACAAGGGGTTGTCATTGTCCCCCAATAAACCAGGTATTATAATCCCCTACAACAACCAATCAACAGTGACCAGGGGATAAGTACTGACCGAAGTCAAAAAGAGCTGTCCACGCTGAATTCGCTTAACAAAACATGTCAAACACATTGGTGTCTGGCGCAGGTGGCCCTTCCCATGTTTGTTTCCGTCGTTCTTGCTCTTAAAATGCCCAACACATTTCTTTCCAACCTGCATGGCATGAACGGTGTCACAAAATAACATATTTGTCAGAAGCAACCAAGGCAACCAAGTAGCACGGAGCCGGAAATTTACAAAAATGAGACTCTAAGCTATGGGGGCAAAGCAGTTCGGCCATTGCTGGGTGTTCTTGGGATCGAATCAGTCAATGATGATGCAATTTGTTCATGCAGTTCTACTTGAACACAAAAACACTTAAATGATATTGGAGCATATTGGAGCGCTCTTGAAACCTTTGCCACACAACCAGAAATGAATATAATGTGGTAACATGTGGTAACATGTGGTAACCCAAAACCATCCCCAAAATCACCATTTTTTATGGGTTGGTAATCCAACCATCCCCAGTCATGGTAGGTTTATGGCCTCTCCATCTCCCAGGCGCTCCAGCTCAACAAAAGTGGCTCTGGCTAGAGCTCCATCCTCGTGATCAAGGTGGACATAGATATAAAATATATAGATATTATGGAAAGATAGATTTAGATAAAGAAATAACTTGAAATAACTTAGATATATATATATATATGTATATAATTATATATATAATTATATATATAATTATATATTTATATAATTATATCTATATATTATATAATACATAGGCTATGATATGGATATCAATTTGAAATCGAGAATAGATATATGTGACAAAATAATAGATATATGTGACATTATGTGACTTGAAACATCGAAGAGATTCTGAATAGATTATTCCGCACTGGCCGGTGCTTTGTTTACCCGAATGACATTCGTAGAAAGTCCAAAGGCTTGACCTCTACCTGCCCATTTTACTGGTACTGCTCAGTGTTGTTGCTATTTCTGCCAGCTGCACAAGGTTTGGGTAGTGAGATGTAGTGAGACTTTGCAGAACGCACTCATCAAGACTTGAGGTGAGACAGTACATGTCAGAGGTTGATGACAGACGGTAGACGACCACTACATTTAAGATCATTTAAGCATTCAGCATCATTCAAGGCGCCTTTCGGCTTTCGCCCAGCAAGTGAGCAATTGCTGTCTGCGCCAGCTGTTTCAAGCCTCAGCTGATTGCTTCATGACCTCTCTCACTACGGCCATAGTTCCAACATGCTGGCACTACTGAGCAATTCACGACAACTATCGACAAAGTGGTCTAGGCGTAAGATCACATCCTGCAGTGCTTGAGGTGTCGTGGTTGGCAGAGAACAGCATCTTACACATGCGAGATCTCCGTCAATTATTCGTAAATCAAAACAACCTTGTGATCATAGTCATAGTCGGGGGAACATGGGGAAAGATAAATGCAGATCATTCAACAGAAACGGCATGCCCATCATTGCTAAATGATTGGTACATTTGCAACAAAGCTAAAACTGTTTTTTTTAATGCTTTTTTGGGTCATGGTGCCTGAGCAGACAGGGACGGAGGTGTTCCAGCAACAGCCAGGAACGGATGCTCCAGTGCTGCCTGCCAGGCGTAGTCAAGGTGTTGAAGGCAGACTTGTGATGTGGGAAAGGCTTCCACACAGGTCATGAAATATTCATTATAACTATTACTATTCATAACTATTCTACGTCATCATTGTTAATTATCATATCATGAACCCATGTGTTTGGATATTTTTGGGATGTTTTTGGGCCAGATTCTGCCCCCTGCTCGAAAAAAAGCTGAGCTGGCCTCGAGACTGATCCGTCCAGATGCATCCTAGCGTTGGATGTGTATTGTATATGACATGCTTTCGCAAGTACCTTTTGAATATTGATTCTATATCTTTCTATACTTTGAATGGATTGGTTTAAGGGAAAATCTGCAGGAAACCATAGATTTTCCCATTAATTATGGGTAAACCAATCCATTGATACTTAGATTCTAAGGATTTCTGATGTCTCTTGACGAGATGAGACTTTGGAGATGGACTTCCACAGCAGTTGCAGAAGGTTACAAAAAGGATTGATGCCTGAATGAATTCGCACTCAAGCCTCAAGCTGTATCCATCACTGGCACTCAACTGGGTACCCGGTCCCATGTCAACAGCTGATGCAGCAAGTCAGCAGCTTCAATAGAGCAGCTGAGGCCCTCCAAGTGCCCCTGCGAACAGCAAGGGTAACTTAACTCAGGTATATATATATATATATGTATCTACGGATCTTCTGCTTTGGGTGTTGAAATTGTTTGGCTTTGGAATTAAAAGACTGATGAGATTGACTGCATCCTAGGAGCAGTTTCTGCAGCTAGCAGGCTGATCTGCATGGGCTATGAATCCTATCATATTTACATAATTTTACATACATATTAGTAATATTTTGTCAAGTTCAAGAACACAGCTTCAAGAGTTCCTTGCCAAGAGCTTCGTGAAAGGTCATCACGACTTCAATCGTAAGCTCGTGCTACCCAGGCCAAATGATGCCCCCCCGAATCTGCTTCAAACCCATGTCCTCGAGATCCTTTTGAAGAACTCCACGCTCGCTCATCTCCTATCAGTTTTGCAGTTTTGCAACAACAGACACGGAAACACACACGAAAACACACACACGCACATCGACATAAAGTGCACACCATGTCATGGCCTTGAAGATGGCATCCTCACTGGTGGAGAAAGGGAATTGGCCCGTCAGCAAGATGTGGAAAATGACCCCTAAAGACCTGCAAACATGTCGGCTTTGTGAATTAGCGCAGTAGAATACAATTTTTCATACAAACAATGCAAATTTGAGTCTGTCCAAACAGTTGCTATCATTTCTTCACTCGCGGAATACTACTTCGAGTATAATGTACACCAATGATTACTAATATGGTAAACCCAATAAGAAACTTATGATTTGGGAACGGTGTATACAGTATACATGTGTATACATGTTTACAATCCATTTTGTGGTCATATTGGGGATGGTTTAGTATTGAGTTTACCGCATTACTTCGTTTATCTCCTGGAAATCTCAGTGCTGGAAGTCGGCCGGCGCACCACACATCGTCACTCTTGGCTGTGTGAGCACCCTTCAACTGCTGCGGAGAAGCGTACCTTGGACAGTGACAGCTTGGAGTAGAGGTCGTTGTCACAAGAGCACAACGGATATATCTAGATATTTGGTATTTCCTACAGATCATCTCCCACAATCTCCCACAAGACTTTTCCGAAGGACCACAGCATCCACAGCAGAGTGCATATCTTCAAACAACTTTCAATGGTCTCTACATCTAAACACGCTCTGATCTGTCCCGGCGTTAACGTCACTTCACCACTGTAGGCTCGATCTACTGAGTATCCACGCAGCAGTGTTCCATCGTACTTGCTCTCTGCGGACCAAGTACCATCCTGCCATGGTGCCCATTCCATGAACGCTATAGCACGATATGAATATGACATATGTGACATAATATGGCCGTATTCCATTAACATACTGACAACCGATGACAACTGTATGAAGTTCTCGTTAGTTAGGATAGGCCTTGCCCATCTTCCTATCATCATATAACCCTGCATACCCCCCTACACTTTCACCATCATTTCATAACAATCTCATAAAACCACACTTCCAAAACATCATCTAACCAAGATTTCAAAACAATCTCATAAAACCATTATTCCAAAACAAATTTGAACCATCATTTCGTAGCAGTGTCTCAACTCAATCTTTCCAACCATCATTTCAAAACAGACTCAACACGAACCATAGCAGAAATCATTTTGAAGATGATACCAAACTCAACAATCTTCAAAAGGATTCTCAACAAACAGTCTACAACAACCAAAAAAACAAAAAAAAACTCAAACAACCTCAGCATTTCCCAAACCATCAAAAAAATCATCACAACCAACAACCAGAATAATTATTCAATAAATCTAGCAACAAATTTACTGAATAATCCTCACATAAAAAAAATCGAACAACATCAAACCAAGAACGTAAACCAGAACTACATCACGTAGAAAAGATGGGCACGGTTAGGTAGCTTCAAAATCCACGTGGCGCTGCGCTTTTTGGCAGTTGCATTGCTTTGGCTCCCTCACTTCGCAGCTTTAAGCTTCTTCAACTCGCTCTCTGCTGCTTGCGCGCGTTCCTCGGCCGCATTGCGTTTGCCTGTCTCAGCTTCGGCACGACGTGTCTCAGCTTCGGCACGACGTGTCTCAGCTTCGGCACGCTGTTCGGCCTCTTCGCGTTTCTTCCTTTCCAGTCCAACGGGAAGTTCCATGATGAGTTTCTGGTTGAAGTGGAACAGTTGTGCAGGAGTTGGCTTGTCAGCATTGATGGGAGGCTTACTTGCCTCCTGTCCATTGAACATTAACATGGTGCCTTCATCTTGCCCGCGTTTGCGGGCAAGGTCAAGCAACCTCTGCATCTGGTCAGACTTGTTGACCACGCCTCCCCCGTCTGCTGTTGTTACTTCGACCAAAAAGGCTGCGCCTTTCAATTTTTGTAAAAACTCTTTGACTGTGGTGTGGGAGGCCTCGTAAGAATCCACTCTTTTTTCCACGATAGAAAAGCCTGAGTCCATGTTTCCTTGACTGTCTGACAGTTCGGGTTGTTCAGGAAACTTGACGATGAAGTCCACTTCTGCTGCTCCCAGCGCCAAATTGTATGCTGCCCAGCGGGCACTGTGAAGATTCAACCAAGATTCTGGAAACATCTCCTGCCACAACCAACGCAGCTCTTTGTCTCCTCTCCCTCCTTTCTCCAGCTTGCCCGCGATGTACTCCTTGCACAAAATCTTCACAGTCCAGGCTCTCTTCACATCTTCCCCCAAAGCTTCACCTGTCTCTGAACTGAAGAAACCATCATATCAAAACCCTTTATGCCATGATGAAGAACAATCATATATATGTTTTAAATCATGATTTGAAAAGCATTCAGCAAGGACAAGCAAACAAATATAGCCCAGTTGTGAAAGCATCAACTGACTACTATTGAAATGAAAAGGATGAACCGCCTGAATTCAGAATGATTAAAGATATAAATGAGATATTGGAAATCCAAGGTGGGGAGAATGAAGATATAAATATAGTTTTGGAAAATAATATTTTTAACTGAGGTATTCTTCCAGCTAGTGAAGAGTGGATATGGACCAAGAATAAGCTGTCAATCAATCATAACAGAAATCAGACTAAAATTAGGTAAAACAAAATTTATTATAAAAACTCAAAATTTGATTAAGTCATCATGTGATGGATGTATAGCAGTTGATGATGAAATAACATACAACAGAATGAATAAGGCAATGTTTAATTTCAATAAGTCTTTATTTAATCCATTACACAAGCCCTTCTACAATGACATTGATGTAGCAATATTGAATGAAGCAAGGACGACAGTTCCATCAGGTCTTGTTTGTTCCGCTAAGGCTTTTCCAACTGATGTTTTTGAAGCTGATGTATCCAAGGCATTTACATTAGCATTCATGAGTATGAATCAAATTCCAGTATTCAATCAGTTTGACATTTGGCAAGTTTATACTGACAACATTGATATTACAACATTGCATGATTTAACTCTATATTATGTTGAAGTTCAGGGGGAACTATTCAACAGAAAGCTTTTATTCAACAAAAGCTATTGCTTGATATATGGCTTATTTTTGAAAAAGGTCATGTGTGGAAGAATAAGAATTTTGTATTACAAGCAACCTTCAAGAACATATGAATGTAATTACAAAGAAATCATTAATTAATTATGGAAGCATGAAATCAGTAGCAATTCCGATTTAGACAAGACTATCAAAAAACTCATTGCCAACATAAATTTTGGACTTCTGGAAAAAGGGGGCTCAACCAGTCAAAAAAGCATGGTTTTGAAGCACCTAAGGGAAGCAGTGAATTATCTAGTAGAATATGGAGGCAAAATACATAAACTGACTGATGTTGAAGTTGAATGCATTGAAACGCGTTTAACAACTAGGGAATATGATAGTGAAGGTGTGAGCTACTATGTCTTAAATTTGAAGGACAAAGCCCAATTGCAAAATGGATTTAGATACATTAAAGAATTACTTTTACAATATCATAACTTTAAAATGTATCAGGACTATTCTAAGTTAAGAAGTAATGGTCTTAATGTATATAGTGTTAAAACTGATGCCTTCGTAATTAAAAGATGTGATGAGGAGAGAACAAAAATGATATTAGACTTTCATAATGGAATTGGAGGATGGAGAATTAGCAAGTACGAAGATATTAAATTACCAAGTGTAGAATATGAAATTGCAAAAAATGAAAAGGTTGAAATACCAACTTATAAGCATAAAGTCATTGAAATTAAAAACAAATACGACACTGATAATATCATTGAAGTTATTAAGGGGCATAATCCAATGATGATAAGGGGGGTTTATCCAGGAACTGGAAAATCATTTGTATGTCAGAAAATGGTAGATAAAGGTTATAAGGTAATATTTGTATGTCCTACTAATAGATTACTACAAGAATTTGAAGGAGACGCCTTAACATTAAATAAGTTTTTTGGTATAAGCTTTGGTGATGTAAAGTTAGAACCATTTGATTATTCAGGGTATGATGTTATAGTCTTTGATGAGATTTATTTTAGTAGTTTAAGCACTTATTGGAGAATAAAGCAATTCGTAGAAGACAATAAGCATAACAAAATAGTAATTGCTACCGGGGACACCAAGCAATTAAAACTTAGTCAACCACTAACTAACATTCAAGAGTATGAAGTATATGCAGACCATATCATTAACAATATTTTTACAAATAGTATACTACTAAAAGAATGTAAGAGATTGAAAACACAAGAGGATAAGGACAAATTAAGCAATGTAAAAACTGATATTTTTGTAAATAAACTTCCTTTCAAGGAAATCATTAAAAAATATTTCAGATATACTACTAGTATAAGTGGTTCAAAGCATAATATTGCCTATTTAAATGATACTTGTAAGAATGTGTGAACAAATGGATCCTTGTCCTGGATGTTATCTCAGACCTGTAGTACCCTTGCTACTGGTAGCCGACAAATGCCATGCGGAGTCACACGACGCATCCCTTTCTCCATACGCTTGAGCCAATGTTTGGCGGTCACAGCATGTTGTTTTAACACTGCATGCTGCACATGTTGTTTCATCTCGTTCCCTTTAACACCCCCCATGCCCGTGGTATCTTCAGACCACGGACACGAGAGAGGGAACTTTGAATTAAGATGGTTCTGCTACTTGAATTACGCCTATCTACATAAAACATGCCATTCGGCTCCCCCTTCCCCACATACCCGTCGGGAATAATGGTTCAGGGTTCGCCTACTCTTTGGCTGTCGATGCATCGGCGCTTCATCAAGCTGTACAGCGCGAATTATTGCTAGCTAACATCTACTTTTCTATGTTGGCTAGGCATGCCACTCACCCGTCGGGAGAAATGGATCGCTTTGCTACCAAAGATTTACAATGCTAACTAACGAATTCACGTGCACTGTGCAGAACTTCGTGCAGATTGGGAATATCAAAAGTCTCGGACCTAAGCGAATTAGTCTAATGCCTCGCTCAGAGTCCACTCAGTTGGTCTTTTCCTGATCATCTGTTCACAAAGACGATACACATCTTATAGGTCAGTGATCATTTTGATGGACAGAGGTAATTGGTTTACTGCTCACGGCGGACTTTCTTCCATTGAGGTGTTGTTGGAGTTTTCTCCCATCCTGCCGCACGTTTCGGAGCAGCTTTCGGCGATGAGGGCTTCGCAGGCGGTGCCTTTGATGGTTCATGGGATTTCGGCATAGCCTTAGCCTTTGGTGCGCTGGCCGATGAGGATGATGCTGAACCAGTGCCTTCAGGTTTCTGTGAAGGTTGTGCTGATGATTTGGCTGCGTTGGTAAACTTGGAAGCGGCAGTATGTCCGACCGCTTTGAATACTTCACTCACCACTTCGTCGCCAAGGGTTGGAGCCATCTTCGTTTTCATCTCGGTCTTTCCCCTCTGCGCCTCGGCCTCTGCCAGTTGAATGGCATAAGCCATCTTGCTGACAAAGTTTTGAGGTAAGGGAATGCCACATTGTTGGGCGGCAAAGAGTAATTCCACTCTCTGTTCCTTCTCCCTCAGACTCAGATATACCGAGAAAGCTGGGAGTTCGATGCAGTTGGGGAAGCCGTGGCTCCCGGAACGAAAGAAGGTGTATGATTCGTGTTCTGGAAAGGTTCCTTTCAGCAGTCGTCGAAGAAAGTTGCTGATGGTCACTCGCATCTCCTGCTTCCCTTGGGCATCAGCCTGCATTCGGTTCATTGGCATGAGGAAACCTAATGACTCGGGAGTGTACCCGGCGCGTACCAGAAATTCCATCATCTTTTCATAGATCTCCAAAGTCTTGATGACAGGCATCATCATGTTTCTTGGTCGTCCTGAGTACATCTTCGCTCCCTCTGACCATGAGTTCCTCTTCCCTTTCTCCTGAAAGAGTTCGTCCAACTCCAGCTCTGTCGGTCGCTTGAGGTTGCCATCCTGGTCTTCGCCTGTGTAGGGGCAGAAGTCGTCCAGGTCCAGCCGGACTCGCTTGGTTTCCGTCATCATCTCGTAGTACTCCTCTGGGGTCAGAGTGACCCTCTGCTTATAGTAGAGCCTGAACATTGTGATGACCTTTGACATGACAGCATTGTCATACAAGTGAGCCGCGGCCTCGGAGACGTCATTGTTGATAAGTCCGTCTTCCGGCATACCCTTGCTTCCGCTCTCAAGATTCTTAGTCCACACTGGAAGTTTGGAAGAAGGATCATCTTCAGGTTCGACGTCCATTTCATCGTCTTCTTCTTCAACGATTTCGTCGTCTTCCTGTTGAGCTTCCTCCTCCTGATCCACTTCCTCATCATCGCCTTCATTGTAGTCGACCTCGTCAGGATTGAAGCCATAGTCGTTGGACTCGGATACGTTTTCTTGTGCTTGGTTGACCGTATCCTTGAACAACGATTCTTCTTGTCGACGAACTTCTTCATCGATCTCTTTCTTTGTTGCCTCATCTTCATCGTCTTCAGGAGCTTGTAGCCGATATGGACGGATTCCACAACTTTCAAGTTCCGTCCAGCAGACTAGACACACTGCTAGCTTTGTCGGCGTCTCGTTGAGACAGTGAGGACAATGACGGCAACCTGACGTTTGCACCCTTTTGCGCTCGACTATATAGTCAATCAGCTTGATGCGGGCCAGGTATTGCTCTTGTCCACCAGGCTCGATGAGGTTGTTCTTGAACTGGTTGACGATGTTCATGGCATCCATGGCGATTTCGTCATACGGTTGGTCTTCGGCGTCGATGCACTGACTTGCAACCCTCAGGATGGACTCCTTGGTGGCTACCGTTCTTGATTTGATAGTTCCAGACCGGACTACCTGGTCGTCGCCCGACGGGACGAACAACCGGAGCCATGTCTTGTTGTATTGGTCCTTGGGGTCCTGAATCCATCCTCCTTTGATTGCCGAGAACGGGATGATCCTTGGTGAAGCGATCTGTCCCGAGTCAGTTAGTCGACCGCCATATTCCACCATCAAGGTCTCGGTCGGGATGAACAAGCAAATGTAGTCCCCCTTGCGCGTATCAACGCTCTTCGTGATGGTCCATGATCTGTGATCCCATGGCACATACGGGTTGAAGAACGTGAACATCCGATGACCTTCTCCAAGACCTCCTGGAATTAATCCCTGCCTCCAAATGCTTCGGAGGTTGGTCTTCTTGGTGATGTGGAAACAGACCGGTAATGACAGAATGGTGTTGGGTGCGATTGGATGTGAAAGCAACGAGGACAGCAATGAAACGTCGTCTCTTGAAGATCCTTCTTTGTGCCCCGTAGGAGCACGGACCGCCACTGGGTAGAGCAGTAGACCTTCGTCAGGGATGTGCGTGTCCGCTTCGACATTGTTGTCAATGCACGTCAGGCTACGGCGATCAATGTCCTTGTTGATCCCAAATGCCAAGACTTGTTCACGCACACGACGTCCGTACCGGGCACAGTGGAACATGATCTTGAAGAGCAATGTCATGCGGTAGTTCGCCTCTTTGACATTCCAGGCACTCTGATCATTTGCTCTCCCTTTTGGGGCAAGGAATACGTGTGGCCAGCGTGCATGCTCGTGCCTCCAGATGGACTCACATTTGAGCACCTCCTCGATGGGCACCCAGCCGGCGTCATCACAGGACAGACTCTGCTGCTCTGATACCTTCCCCACGTTGTGCCGCAGGATCCTGTTTAGTGATGTACTCACCTTGTCCTCGTAGGTGTCGAGTCGGTTGCCAGTCTCGAAGCGGTAGTTGGCAGCATATTCTACACCGCCAAAGTAAGGGCAGTTGAAGAAATGGGCCCCCGTTGTCGGGATGATTTTCAAGAAACCATCTTGCGGCGCTTCGACTCGTTTGTAGAAGGTCTTCCTGATGTTGTTGTCAGAGTAGCTTGCCATAAAGTCTGGCACTGACCAAGCGTCGCCTCCTCCTCTGACAATAGCGTCTCGGATCACTTAGTTGAGGTCAACAACGTTCTGTGGTCCTAGCTTTGTAACATCACGTCCTTCTATGCAGAACCTACCATACTCATCGAGGTCACCAACTTCAGACATAGTCCTGATGCTGTCGTACCACTGGTGTTCACTAAACCTCGGTTTTGTAGGTTCATCTGTTTGCCCCGACCCTTCAGTAGCACCTGAACCGTCCTTCTTGTGCTCAGGAGGCTCCATATCGACGTCATCAGATGTGGGACTATCAGCCTCGAGCGACGCTCGGACGGCCTTTAGCACCTTTCTGACTTCATCTCTCTTCTCATGTTCACATTCAAGATGACCATGTTTGGTGCTACCGCAATACAAGCACACGTTGACATCCTCAGAGACGGTGAAGAGTTTTCCCAACGCATCCAATAGTTGTTGTTTCCCGGAAATTTCTGAGTCCCTGACCACATCAGTGGGATCATTTGCTGGCTCATCAGCTTCCTCCTCCCCAGGGTGAGCCGACGACTCGTCACCTGGCTTGGCATCGGCATCAGCGCCCATGCTGGCGTCATCCCCTGTGATGTTGTTCTTCCTTCGATAATGAGAGAATACCTGATCCTTCTCCCATTCCGTGAGGCAGCAGAAATTGGCCAGCGAATCATATCCGGGGATTGCATGGATGAGCTTCATGACCCTTTCGGCTTCTGCGGTCTGCAGTGTGCAGTCGAAGGATCCCCGTCTCTTGTCATTGATGGTGCTCGAGGTTCTGGAGGTCGATGTGAATTGAGCCAATGCCTTTTCCAATCCATTGAGATACTCAGCTGGATCAACACTGGCATTGAAAACATCCACAACTCCTTTGGCCATATTGGCCACATCCAAGACACCAAGCCAGAACTCGATGATATCTCCAGTTTTCTCGGCAGATGCACGGGAGAATCCAAAGATCTCGTTCCTCTCCTTCACCTCGGGAACGGCGACCTTCTCGAAGAAATCTTTGTATGCGACATTTCCGCAATCCTTCGTGACTCTGTAGATCAAGAGCCACTTCTTCGCGACTTCATCAAAAACTCTTTCGCGATAGATACTGAATTGCTTGCCGCGTCCGTTCCGGAAAATTTCCAGAGCTTGCCTCTTCGAAATTCTGACCCTCCCATGTGAGATAGAGATTTCATCAAGTGCTCCCCATACGCCAACGATGCATTTGAAATCAACGAAGACGCAGTAAATGTGAGCCATGTTTGAAATCCTTGATTGATGTCAACAATGTCAACACCAAGATCCTCGAATGCAACCTTCAGTCTGGCCGCAAGGAGTAGTACGGACTTCCTGGCCTCCAATGTGGGAGCTGAACGCTTGTAATGGTCCTGGGTATTGGCGGAGCAATTAATGCAATGGGTCGGTCTCGACTGGCATGTCTCGACCTCATCCATCGTCGCCGCATTTCTGCAGCTTCCGCATAGGATGTCGGAATTCTCCTTGTCGATGGTGAACCACATGCATCGATCGGAGACAGCTGGTTCCAGCTCATGGGTGCCGACTACTGGTTCAACCCAACTGGTCTTGAACCTCTTGTCCTTTGTGAATCTGTTGACGGCGGTTCCAGGGCCTCGCTGGAAGATTGTTGTGTCATCATTTGCATAGTCACCTGGGGTCATTTCGCCGCTCGCAATCCTGAACGCTTCAGTCGGTCCAGTCATATCCTCCAACAATTTGGTGTTGATGCCAGATTCATCAGGTTTGAATGCTCCCTCATTGAGGACGGATACATATTCCCTGTTTGTGGCACACATGAGGAAAACTCTTTGGCGAAATAGATTCTTCTCGATGACAGACCAAATTGCCGTCTTTCCCAAAGTCCCCTTCTTGGTCGTACTCAATATTGGATATTGTTTTCCAAATTGTGAATACATCGACCGCCACATTCTCTGGTCCGATGTCACCAAGATCCCTTGGAGCCTCATCTTCTCAATCAGCTCATCTGCGAGTCTTGACGTGACCGAGTCCATACCATTGAACATGGAGTCATTGTTGATGGCGACCATCAGGGGTCGGGATGTGACTTGGTCAAGATCGAGCACCCCCTTGACGAACTGATTCTTGAAGTCGTTTTCAAGCATGACACAATGAGGTGGTTTTTGTTCATGAAGGAATTGCAATGACAACCAAAGGTGTACAGTTATCTGGCCATCGTCGACGACATCAGTGCTGAGATGTTGCTTGACCTTGTCAAGCGTGTCCAGGAATTGCTGAAGTGGTCGCTCTGATTCGGAATCATGGATCTTGAATACTTCAACGCTTTCCCATCCCATGTCAGCTAGTCCCATTTGGATGCCATGCGTCCCACTTTGGGTTCCCACGCGGAACATCAGGTCGGTGATGAGGATGGTCGTTCCAGTCCTAAAGTCACCTGCCAACATGTCATGATCTCTTGGACCGTTTGGTGCTTCGATGATCCTGCAAGCAAGCGGGTTGGTGATCATCTTCTTGATGCGGCCCAAGTCGGATTGGTTGGCGACGTTCACGTCGTGATGCCCTAGCATCATGAGCATTCCTGCTGTGGACAAATAGCATCCAGTCCGCGTCAGCATGTACTTGCGGACGATGTGGCTGTAGCACCTCAGCCAGTCTTTCTCGGATATAGTGGATGCAGTGTCCTCAGTTACGACCCCCGGATTGCAGACTCCGAAGACCATGCAGGCATATGCTGTCACTCTCCTCAAATATTGTGCCCAAGGTGCTGACCCTGATGTGCTGGCAGCTTGAGCTGCGGGTCCTTGGACGATTGATAGAAGAAAGTGATC